GTTTTCACAGTCACTTATTAGACGTTTAATTGTTTAAAGTGTGCATATAATTTGCTATGAATTTTATTAGCTTTGGCTTGCGGTCAGTGTCAGAGTTTTATTTGAAGATAGCAGCTAAGTAGCCGTAGATAATTGTGGTTTTGAGATAGGTTGGGATCTGTAGATTAGTGTGACCATCTGTTGTCTAGGAAGGGGGAGTCCATCCAGTCTGGGATGTCCCCCCACCCCCCCANCTTTCACCACTGTAGACCATAATGGTCTTGTCAAAAACAATGCATGGAATTGTCTTCTAAAGTTACATAGAAGTGAAAAGGTTAACCACATTTACAATTTAACTCCTTAACCACATTTACAAATTGACTCCTTAACCACATTTACAAATTAACTCCTTAACCACATTAACAATTTAACTCCTTAACCGCATTTACAATTTAACTCCTTAACCACATTTACAATTTAACTCCTTAACCACATTTACAATTTAACTCCTTAACCACATTTACAATTTAACTCCTTAACCACATTTACAATTTAACTCCTTAACCACATTTACAATTTAACTCCTTAACCACATTTACAATTTAACTCCTTAACCACATTTACAATTTAACTCCTTAACCACATTTACAAATTAAATCCTTAACCACATTTACAATGTAACTCATTAACCACATTAACAATTTAATTCCTTAACCACATTTACAAATTAACTCCTTAACCACATTTACAATTTAACTCCTTAACCACATTTAACTCCTTAACCACATTAACAATTAAATCCTTAACCACATTTACAATTAAATCCTTAACCACATTTACAATTTAAACACATGAAACAGAGTAACAATTTATCTCCTTTAACCAGTTACAATTTAACTCTTTTAACTACAATAACAATGTAACTCCTGTAACCACTTTTGCAATTAATTTCACTTTCTTACCAACAGTTAAATTATCCCGTTCCATCACAATAACAATTAACTCCCTATCCCACATTTACAATATAACAACATTCCTCCACAGTTGCAATCCATTTTCTTTGAATTCTTTTAATTGTTCTTTATAATATAGCTCTTTCCATCGGAGACACATGTAGTACTTACCCTTTGAGATGTGGTTATTGCTGGCAACCATTTTTTGACTACTGTTTTCCAGGAGGGATGTCCAAGGGGTCCTTCCCTGATAGAAGACATTGAACTTGTGTGACCTTTGGGACAGATAGGGTTACCAGGTCCAATCCTAATGGAAATTATCCAGGCCTTGTTTCACCTACACAAATCACTGACTTCAGTACAGCTCCGACATTCAACTGTAAAATTGAGAAAACTTGTCAGTCGGTGCAATCACTTCCATCGACTTAGACATCAATGTGGTGTGTGGTATATTACCTATATCCAAGTACTCAGGACACCAAAATTCACTCAGCTCATTCCTATACACAAATCCAATAGGTTTTCTCACTTGTTATGCAAATGTGATCACATTTTGATAAATAACCACTAAGAAATGGAATTTAAAATGTATCTTCAGCGAATTACTGCCAAATAATTGTTTACATGGATGGACGAACCTACAAATTTGTATAAAATTGTTGAATCTAATCTGTCACGAAAGTTCACAGAGCCATTTAAACAGACACCAATCTAACATCCATCAGCGGGCAGGTATTCCAAACAAATCACCAACAATTACAGGTATAATCACACGTAACCAATTACAGGTGAAAATCACAGGTACAATGACAGGTAACCAATTACAGGTGAAAATCACAGGTAAATTGTAACGTCTATTTCTATATATCCACTTCTCCTTACAATCTAAAACAGACAGTGACAGATTTTGAGAAAATTAAATGGTGAAAGGTAAAATGTTGTAGCGACCAATTTCATTGGAATCAATCAATATGCGAGTATCCCTTGACAATTTTCTCAACTCAATATCAAAACAAAGATGGGGGTTTGGACACGACTGCTCTGCAGAGCAATTAGGCAAAACCGTTCGTACTTACTTGGAAATTGAAAAAAAAGATCAATTTGTTTTCCAAATTATCATAGTAAAATGAATATCAGAACTAGTCTAGATAATATAATAGAAACTATTAGTGTTCCAATTAAACCTGGAACCCTCTTAGTCAAACAAACATTAACAGGGCAATAAATCCATCTCTGTTTCAAAGGATTACTTAAAATCTAATTAATATTTTATTCGGTATCATTTTATATATTGTACAAAGTTCATCCGCAAATGGGTAAATTGCTTATATGTCTAAAATTAAAAGGACTCACCTTAAATCTCTCGCATAGACAGCAATGCTACTGTGTGTTCTGTCGATCGCGCTTCCTGCTGCCCTGCGACGTTTCTCCCGCGCATTTGTTTGCAATACACACAGATCAAAGAAGCTATTGAACTTGTTGATCGGCTAATACAAACTTTGTTCTTAATAGTATCGCAAGCCAATGGAATTAATTTTACTCGTGGCCTCCATGTTAAATCAAGCGTAAATGTATTTTTCAACCTCCAAAGATCAAGCACTCCGTGTCCTCATCACACGGTACCGCCACAGGGACCTGAGAATGTATTACAGTTACATTTGGACCTGAACTAAGGTGTAACTGAAGAGTAATTTTACATGTTTTAGGGGTTTCGAACGACTTTCGGTAAAAATGCCATAATCATTGGGGAGGCCTTTTTTACCGAAAGTCGATCTAAACCCTGAAACATATCAAATTACTCTGAACACATAAGTAACTGTAACAAATTATCAGGTCCCTGTGGCAGTGTCATTTTCATTGGCACGACTTTCGATGTTGGTAGACATCTTTAACCATATTTACTATACATTGTGGGGGAAATAGCTTTCAATTAAGAAGAGACGTTAGCTGCCTTGTTCTGCTTTTAAAGAAAAAACATTCTGCGTGGCTTCTGTTGGGCAGTGGTAGTTTTTAGTACAAGTACCAGATAATTTATTACAGCTATATTTGGACCTAAAATAGGATGTTTAGAGTAATAGTATGTGTTTTAGGGGTTTAGAACACTTTCGGTAAAATAGCAACCCCAAATGACGACGTATACGAGCAACATGTTTTCCAGATGTTGATATTTAAACCCTAAAAGGTGTAATAGTACTCTAAGCACCTCACAGTGTCCGGTCCAAATACATGTAGATGTAACAAATTCTCATATCCCTGTTATTGTCCGTCGTCGTACCATGGAAGGGATCTCGTTGATACTTTATGGGTATGTTACTGACATCGCCCTAAAAATCCCATTGGGCTATACCCCGTGCTGACTTCTTCACAACTCTGAACTTGTTACAATTGTTCTTTGTGAGGTCCTAGCAAATTGTTTTTACTTTTTGGGTCAGTCATAAAAATCTGTCAGGTACAACCCAATATGGGCGCATTTGGCTATGATTTTCTGGGACATTTTCAACACCTTTCAAGAAGTGATAGAGCTATTGACTTCAGTCTTCCTACACATGATCTTTATCGTATTCTAGCCTAGTATTTTCAGGTTTTGGTGGGGGGGGTGGGTTATGTTTGTGTCTACGTGCAGTCCAAAATGGCCACCACAATAAAGGCAACTAGACAGCCAACCATCCGCTGGTCATTTCAAATGGTAGTTTAAATTAACTGAAAACTCGCCATTTGTATAGGCCAATCCAAACTACAAAGTTAAAACCTTACTTTTTGTATATATCAAGACACATTGGTTTTTCAAACAGATTTAAAACCCTGCCCAAACTCTAATTAACTACAGCATCAAGAATAGCATCAGGTAACCGTTTAGGCCCCTGTGCATTTTGTTTGCATTATTTTTGTTGAAAGCTGAATTCTCAAAACAGCCACTGAACTTCTTCATACACTGAGGGAGATTATCTTTACAAACAAGCACCAGGTCATGATGTCAGTTTTGCCCTTTTACTGCCTGTAGCGAATACTTAATAGAAAAGTCATGCTAACGTTGTTTGAATTATTAAAGTCTCTATTCTCTGTGTTTGTTGACTAGTATCGGACTAAATGTAAGCAGGTGTACCTCGCACTTGACTTTCGATTTTGTTCAATATATTTTAGCTTTGATGTCTGCTTAGAAAAGAACTACATATGCTTTCTGGCCAATCAAGATCTATATATAATCAATAATCAGTATTAATGTCACGCGATCCTATTCACTCTTCATAGATCATGCTTTGTTTAATAGTCGGCAAGTTCTTTTCCGAAACTTTAAACTTTCACTTCTGGTTGAAGAATAAATATTTCTTTGTTCTGGCCAAAATCTCAGCTGATATGGTCTACCGTAAACGATATAGATACGGAAAGTGTCGACGGTTTCCCGATTGGAGGATAATCGGTGTGTTATGGTAGGTGGCTAGCTACTTCTTTTCAGCTTTTACCACAAATCAGATCTGGTACGCAAAATAAGAATTTCAAGGATAGGTAAATATTAAGCTGTTGGGATTTTCTTTTCGTTTTGTATTTCTTTCAACATTGAATGAGATAATTCAAATCGAGGACTTGGATGCCTTTAGCTTCAAACACCTATACCAGTAATGTACATCCAATTACAGTATAATTGTCTCAGACATCCACGTCCTCGGGTGTCAGAGGTTACGCGCTAAGAGAGAACGTAAAAGAGCGTAACCTTGGAATTCTGAGGAGGAGACATGGAAGGACTAGGTAGTATATGTATCCTAATTTTCTAACAAGCTTATGGAGCACTCTGAAACCAAAGATATAATCAAACCTCATGTATATACATGCACGAGTGTGTCTTATTGGATTATATTGATCACTTAACGGGGGAATGAGTCATCGCGTCGCCATCACTTTTTTTCTAGGGGAAACAAAGAATCGTGTTTCCCTATAGCAAGGGCTAGATCTACTTAAGTCCGTGCTGCAACCATCGACATTCAGTAACCACGTGCGAATTTATGTTGGGAAACATCAACTGGACGTTGTTTGTTAATAAGGAACTCACGGGAAAGATATCAAAGTGTTTTAAATGATTTATTATCTTATATACACTCATATTGTGAAAACATAATAAGTATGAAGTAATGTGAATTTTACCTATCTACATACAAACACAATGATCAGGTATGAATTAAGTGACGTTAACCTTAGCTATCTACATACAAACACAATGATCAGGTATGAATTAAGTGACGTAACCTTACCTAACTACATATAAATTCGTTATAACAAATTCTACGGAAAATATTTCGTTTCACTTATCAATGTCATAAGAAAATGAAAGATCGTTGTAAAAAACAAACATGGAATATTTAATAATATCACAATTAACTGATTAAGCTACAAATACACTCACACATGTTACATAGGTCAGAGAACAGGGCTGTTTTTGGCTCGCACTCTACGTATCGATTTTGATTATGTCACAGTCCTGCCGTGTGTGTTATGGGCACACAGTACGATATTGATCGTTCTCTGAGAGGCCAAGGTTTCTCGTATATAGTAATATTTATCTCCGGAATGTAATGTCCTGTAATGACGACGAAACAGTTATTTGAACAAATTTCACGTGTTTCGTTTGTCATGTCCACATTACGTTTTGGTTGCCCCTATTTTGGTTGGGTAGAAGCTGGTGAGTCTGGTGTTTAGTGATCGATGGTTGATATCGATCCGTGTAGAACACAGTACACAACACTGGCTACAGTGGATACAACACGAAACAAAACATGATCAGCGTCGATATTAACATGGCCGGATGCTCCCAATAAACATGTCCCGAACGTTGTCCATTCGTCGTGTCCATCAATTTGTCGAAAAAGAAGCAGTCTTTTTGTGCTATTGTACTGACTTTGTACGACCTACTTTTACAGAAGTCACTGCCGTTCGTATACAGCTGATTAACTCTCGAGCCTTTCAGAATGGCCGACCCGCAGGCTCCGTACCAGGCGTCACAGAATTCCTCACACACCTTCAAGTATCCCCATATATAAAACATGTTCTGGTAGGGAGCACATATATAACACATTAAGTAATTGGTGTACTGTTGACAGGCCGGTGACGCCCCGGGGAGACTCTTTACCTGCTCAAATGTCTCCGCGATCTCCTCTTGCATGCAGCAACTGTTCTCTTTGAACCAGGTACAGTTCTTCAGGTTTGGCTGAGGCTCTGGTGCACGGTTGTTGAAGAAAGAACAGAACTCCGTCACCTCTGTAGCCGAGCCTTCGGACAGAACAATGGCAAAGGCAAAGAACGTCGCTAAATAATAACCGAACATCCTGTCTTTCTTCAGGTCACCATCGGGTACGGCGCACCAAACCCTCAGCCTCAGCAGTCTCATGGAACCAGCAGCACGGTAGGTCGATATTACAGAATCGTCATACAAGTACAATCTTGCGGAAATTAGTCCCACAAAAATCTGTTGTAATTTGGAGTCAAAGCCCATATAATCATTACATATCAGCAAGTACATTAAAAATGCGTCGTTAAATTGGTATCGCCCTACACAAGAGATAAGTACGATTCAATATCGAGGACAGCGTTTCGTTTGTGTATCATGCTTTGCTTTGGTGAACCCGCCGTATCATAATTTCGAAAACTTACGCCAAAATACTCAAGTTTTCGCGCCATTTAAATGCATACTTTCGATGTATTTTCACTTTAAGCAGGAGATTTCCAAAGTTTTTCTGTAGATTTTATTAAACCAGCAGGCAAACAATGCATGCTCACGATAATTTAAAACATTTGATTCTCTGCCGATAAGTGCATGATTGAACAAAGAAACCTTTGCAAACGAAATGAACACAAACTTAAACTCTCGTAGTAATGTTCATGTTTTAGTGTAGTAATATACTACATCTCACTTAGACATGTGTTCAGTGTAGTAATATACTACATCTCACTTAGACATGTGTTCAGTGTAATAATATACTACATCTCACTTAGACATGTGTTCGGTGTAGTAATATACTACATCTCACTTAGACATGTGTTCAGTGTAGGAATATACTACATCTCACTTAGACATGTTTTCAGTGTAGTAATATACTACATCTCACTTAGACATGTGTTCAGTGTAGTAATATCCCTTCATCCGTGTAGAAAGGAGTGGGCATTTCCCCTGTTTGGCCGCATCCTTTGGCCCTAAAGTTCTACCAACTGAATTCATATAAACGTCATTGACATGCAGTACAGTAGTAGACTTTTATATATTCACCTCTATGTCTATATGAGGCCCTGTCCCAATGTCTCAGTAAGGGCCCAGAGCACACCAATAATTATACTGTTTCTACTGTTCTGGTTAACATTACATGTATGGATAAGCTGGTTGAGGACCTGAAAAAAAGGACCTGAGAAATTGTTACAGCTACATTTGAATCTAAGCTAAGGTGTTTAGAGTAATGATACACGTTTTAGGAGTTTTAGGATGCCAAGGTCAACATCATGAATATGCACAAAGTGGGTCTATGACTGCGAAAAACTTTGAAACTAGTAAATGGCGTGTGTTTTTGGAGGAAATGGAGATAATTTCTGCGGAACGAAAATGCATATGACGTGAATATAGGCGGTTTTTAAAAGACAAATTGTCCATCTTTCCAACACTACTAAGCATATGTTTGTACATCAACTAGAGATGTGGTTTTTGACGCAAGAAAGTTAGACTGGGTCGATTTTTCGACATCGAGAGCTTTCCTCCCTTCTCGTTTATTATCATCAGCGGGGTGGCATTTTTACCGAATACAGATCTTAAACCCTTAAACGTATATGATTATTCTAAACACCTTAGCTTAGGTCCAAATATAGCTGTTACAAATTATCAGGTCCCTGTGGTTAAAGAATGTGTACATATATCTGAACGTTTCTACATCCACCATATTTAACTGGTACCGCAGCTGGACATCAGCTTTAATCGGATAACCTCGGCTCAAACGGGACATTACGTAAAAAATGTTTATAAATATATATCTCGGTATTTGAAAATGTCGGAAAAAAATAATCGAATGTCAGATATATTACACAAATGGTATAACTATTTTGAAATGTTCCGCGAGTATGTATGTTGGATTGCTGAATTGCTGAATTGGTGATGTGGCATCGTTGAAAGCTAGTTCAAGCTTGTGGTGATGCATCGTTGTTGTTTCACTCACTCGGGACTTACTTTTCCGGTTGCACACTTATTAATGTCTTAATACTAATGTGATTTAAAATTTTAAAACAATTCCACTCGTTTGTTCCCATCACGTGTTAATAAAAAGGGTTGAGCCCTTGCATTGTAAAGTTTGCATTTAAATAAACCACAATCGCTATATATTTAGAATTGAGTCAATTGATGTTTAGTATGGTATACTGGAATGAATTGATCCACTCTTAATACCAAAATGATGGGTTGAATTTCCTCGGGTAATTTCTCCAGCACTTGTTTAGTCTTTCATTGAAGCAGTTTAAGCTCGGTGCTGATACCACTTCCTCTGGCAATGAGTTCCATGGTATAATAGTACGATTGCTGAAGAAGTTTCTTGTGATGTGTTTTTTGTAGGCCTTTTAAACAGCTTCTTGGAGTGCCTCCTTGTAGATCTGTATTTACAGTGTTGGAATAGTTTATCCTTATCAAGTTTGTCGATGTTATTAAGGATTCTGTACACTTTGACTATGTCTGCTCTCTCCCTCCTGTATTCCAGGGTTGGTAGACCGAGTATTCTTAAACGTTCAGCGTATGATTTGTCAGTTAATGTTGGTACTCTTTTCGTTGCTCTTCGCTGGACTTTTTCGATTGTAATTTTGTCCTTGGTATTCAGGGGTGACCATATCGTTGAAGCGTATTCGAGGTGGGTCCGTATAAGTGCTTTTTAGAGTGTTACAAATATGGTTGGGCTCATATATTTAAAACTTCTAAATACTATTCCTGCAGTTTGGTTTGCTTTACTGGCTGCTTTTTGGACGTGCATGGAAAAATTGAGTTTTTCGTCGATGTGAACTCCCAGATATTTTTCACTATTCACCTTTGTGATTTCGATGGTGTCTCCGTATTGCGTTAGCGTGTAGTTGGATGACTTTGTTTTTTGTCCAATTTCTATATGCATGCATTTGTCCACATTCAGCTTTATTATTCAATTTTCTGTCCATTGGCACATTCTGTCGATACACTGTTACAGTCTAGCTCTATTTTCTGGGGTTGAATTGTTAGCTGATATTTTAGTGTCATCTGCGAACAGTTTTGTATTACACTCCAGTACATCTGGCATGTCATTGATATATATCAAGAACCTAACTGGCCCGAGTACACTCCCTTGTGGGACCCCGCTTAGTACTGGCAGACTCTTTGAGGGAGTTCCATTGATTATGACTTGTTGTGATAGGCCTGTCAAGAATGCTCTAATCCAGTTTAAGATTTGTCCTTTGATCCCACATTTTCCCAGTTTGTAGATTAGGAGCCTATGACCAACTTTGTTAAAAGCTTTGCTAAAATCCAGGTAGATTACGTCAACGTTTTTCCCCTCGTCGTGTCTTGTTCCATTCTTCCAGGATTTCTAATAGTTGAGTGGTGCATGCTTTTCCTGGACGGAAGCCATGTTGGCGTTTGGTAAATATTTCATTTCCTTCCAAGTAAGCCATTACTTCGTTACGGATTTTTTTTTGTAGAATTTTGTATGGAACCGAGGTAAGACTAATAGGGGGATGGTTTCCTGGGTTTGTTTTGGTACCCTTTTTAAATATCGGAGCAACGTTCGCTTCTTTCAAATCTTTCGGCAATGCACCCTCATCTATTGACTTTTTTTAATATGATTTGTAGTGGTTTGGCTATTGTATCACATGTTTCGACAATGAATTTTGGGTGTAGGTTGTCGGGTCCAGGAGCTTTGTTGGGGTTAGTTGATCTTATGTCCGTAATAACTTTTTCATGCGTCAGTTCTTTGAATTCCGGTAAATTTTCGTGGGTTCTCTCCCTTAGTTCTGGTGGCTCGCGGTTGTCATCATGAACAAATACACTGGAGAAGAATTCATTCAGTACATTTGCAGTGTCTCTACTTTTTTCTGTCAGTTCTCCGTTGTTCTTAACTACTCGTTGTACAGTTGTCTTGGTTTTGGTTTCATTCCCGACATGTTTCCAGAAGAGTTTTGGGTTAGTCTTGATTTTCTCAGACAGATCTTTTTCGTAGTTATAGGTTGATTTTCTTGATAACATGATTATCATGTTTCTCAACGAGTTCGAAAATACGATAAATGTATGTAATGCATATACATATAAATTATTTATAGATAGTGAAATGTGTTATTTGTAGCACGTACAAATGTGGAGTATGAAAAAAATCAACCCACGAGTTTAATATACTATATTGGTACTGTATCGAGGACTATTCTATTTACTGCGTCAATGTATTTTGCTAAGACATGGTCTTCCGTGAAATGATAGTCCATCTCCCGCTGGAAAAACAAATTGAGAAAATATAACCCGTCACAACAGAGATCACTGTGTGTTCACGACACCGGATATTGCTGCTAGGCAGGCGGTGATCACACGAAGTGGACTGCAGTTGAAGATGGTTTTTTTCTATATTTTCCTTACTTCAGAGGCTGTTATGTACTTGAGTCTTTTTGGGCCAATACCTCACATTTTCAGCGTTTACTTAAACCATAGAAAACGTTCATGTATGGGTCAATATTTCTTCCAGACTTACAAACACGTCGTCTGGTATCGGCGAAAATGTTCGAGTGATAACTATCAATCACATGTCTGTTACATGGCTCCGCCTGCGTAGTACGAAGTTAACGAACCCATGTAACATATGATTTTAATCAGATTGGTGTATGAATTAACATTTTTAGTACTTCCCTCCACATTGTCATATCTTACTGCCTACAACTAAATAAAGATGTATCTAGATTACACACATCCATCGTGTCAGTGAAAGCATCGTATTTAATGAAATATCGTCGAACTGTACGGCAACTTGACTGTTTGTTTTTAGATTACTGTACGGCATCATGCTAATTGCAAGTCGCCGTACAATGCTATGAAATTATGTCAGCATATTACTCATAATTTACAACGAGTTCGAAAATACGATAAATGTATCTATGTAATGCATATACATATTCATTAGTTATAGGTAGTTTAATTTGATCGAAAAAAAACCACTGCAAATTTTAATTCAGACACGCGATAAGTATCACTCGTGAGTTTTCGCCGATACCAGGCGGCGTATTTGCAAGTCTAGAAGAAATGTTGACCCTTATAGGAATGTTCCTTGTTGTTTAAGCCATTGCTTAAAATGTGAGGAATTGATCAAAAAAAGTCCCAAGAACATACAAGCCTCTGAAGTAAGAAAATTATAAAAAAAAACTCACCTGCAACAGAATCCCACTTCGTGTGATCACCGCCTGCATGGTAGCAATCCGGTGTCGTTAACAAACAGTGGAGATACAGTGACAAAACGTCACGGATATTATGACGTCACAATTTACAATGCTCATTTCTCTTTCACATTAAACTCTGCTCGCTCTCACATGATTGGCGGCTCAGTTTGAAAATTAAATTAAATTAAATTAATTATTCGGGTGATTGTAGAGCCATATCTTTTTCTGCACTTTTCGAGGCCAATCATCTGTCGGCGGATGACTGGCCCGTTGTTTACTGGCACACTGTCATGTTTAAAATTCTTCAGCCTCACGGCAGCTTTGTCCTCAAGACAGATATTTCAAATTTTCAAAGAACGCCACCCCATGCAGTGCTGTTATATATAATTCTCAAGTCCCTGTATTTAATAAGTTACAGCTCAGTGTGTTAACTTTAAGTAATGTTGCATCATCGTTAAATTAGTTACGATAAGCAAAAGGACGGATCAAATAGATAAGATCAGTTATCTCAACAGGCTCGTTAAAATCCTGATATTTTGTCCGCTTGTTGGACTCTATTTTGACATTTGCGCATGCGCACATTATTGTAAACAGACCACGTTTTGTCAACACTAGCAGCTGCACTTGGACAGCCAAGACTATACAGGTAATTATGGTCCCAGTTTCAGTATATGAGGACCATTTGAATAGGAACATGACTATCAGTATATGTGGCGTTCCGTTGACATAGTGTCACAAGAATCAGTATCTATCTCCAGAATTATTTCCCTGGTTGGAAATGCAGTTCACTATTGTAATTATATAAGATCATATATGGCACATGCGCGTGAATAATATTACGGCATGTGAAAACAGTTTGTCGTTACTAACTAAGAGTATGTAAGCGTAATTGCGTTGTCAGTGCGTCTGTCCTTACTCGTAGTTAACTTGTGTACAAAAGAGCCCATGCATGAACCCGTGTGATAGATTAATCATACAGGTAATATATCAGATATATAGCAGCACCAAGTTGTGCCCCAGATTATATTTGGTGGTCACTGGTTAAGGTTAAATGGTCACCCTTAACCACTGTTACGGTGGGGGATATATCTATATCATCTTCGCTAGCCAATGGTTGATCCGGTACGATCTACCTACTCTCAGTAGTTAGTAGGTAGATCGTACCGGATCAACCCTTGGCTAGCGAAGATGATATCTATATAGGCCTACACTCGCTTTGTTTTACTTAACTTTAGTTGACAATTTGAGAGTATACTTTCATTATCAAGCCACTCATATCCTGGACTGTCTATGCTATCATGATCCTACACTAATACATCCTGGTCTGAACATTTCATTTACATGCACCTATAGTAAATGTATCAAATAACATCGTCATGACTCTTTATCACAAAGGATAATTTTATGTCAACTTCCTGTAAATTGTGATTACCTGAATAAATATTGTTATTATTACCTCTTGCAGTAAGTTTATCAAATAATGTGAAAGTCTGAATCGGTAGGCAATATTAAACTTAAATCATAGTTTTATGTCAACTTCCTAGTATCACCTGTAAACATTTTCCATGACACAATTTCTTGTCAGAGATGCAGTCCGAGTTCCTTATCCGGTACGGCAAAATGCCAGATACTCCTACCCCTCCATCCACATGGGTGTGGCAGTTCATCAACATCATCATGACAGTGTTCTTCTGTTTGGCAGCCTTTGTCAATGTATGTGCTTATGTATTGAAGTTAATTTTATGTTATTTAAGGTACTTTTCAAAATGACTGTCTAACAAATTTTCTGATTGTGATTAACTTTCTCATTGTAATCTTACCTTTGAATGGCCCCTTCCTTTCAATACTATTACTGGTTCTGCTAATAAACAACATCGATGAATTACCACAAATAAAATGTTCTTATATTGAGGTTTTATTTGATACACTAGCTATTAAATGTTCTGTTAACCGAGTAAAAGCAGATGTATTTCCTTAAAACTGGACTCTTCTTTGCTTTTGCAGTTGAATGACGATGATTGGTTTGTTTGGGTGGTGAGTATGTTATTTTCAAAGTGAATATTTCTATCAAAATAATAAACAAATAAATATCAATATGGTAGTACAATTTGTTGTAACTGAAAATGCCTGACTAATTATTATTTTTTAAAACAAGTAGAATTTTGTGCTATTGAATGTAATTTTTATTGATATAAGGATTGGTCCTTGTATTCAGACAGTTAACCTGGACATGTCCTGATTTTTATTAAATCTTTATATCAAAAGTTTTATTATATACCTTGTATTTCAGCCAGGATATGCTGTACCTGGGCTCCTCAGTCTAACAGTTGCCATCAAGCCAAGTATTGCAAGTAAGGGCAATGTATTAGTCTTATTAATCTGTTTCTTTATCAATTAATATTGTCATTGATGGGATTTTGATGCCAATAGTCTTTGAGTAACTTACCCCAAACACATTGTGATGTTGGCAAATATACAATGTATATATATGTACCTGTAGAATGGGTCAGCTAACCATGGTAGAGGGCATTTTCAAAACATATCGCAAGATTGGTGGGATTCCATTACAATGATATATAGGAAGTTATTATCCGAGAGGCAATGCATGACAAATGTACAGACAAAAGGAAAACATAATTGTACCATCCCATTCTTGTTTAAAGAAACCATCTTATCTAACAAATAGTTTATAAAACTGAAAGAGACATCTTTCAATATTGTTCTATGTACTTCATGTATCATAAGGAAATGATAAGAAATCATTTGAAAACTAATGTGATTATATGCCTACATACTGAAAAGCCTGTGAGTCCTAGCACATCCTTTCTACACATTAAAACTAGTGGTTAGTTTGTGTTATAAGACTCTTTCATGCCCAGGTGTGTTTTATAGGGAAATTCCACTGGAGGGGTTTTAAATTTGGTAAAACCTGAAGCTTTTTGCCAAAAGAGTAAAATGCTTTACTCTCTCCTGTGCCTATGTAGTATACACTGTGATAATCTGTTGTAGATACTATAGTGTGGGGCAGTGTTGTGGTGGTCCACTTTACCCTGTCCTGTACCTATGTATATACACTGTGATAATCTGTTGTAGATACTACAGTGTGGGGCAGTGTTGTGGTGGTCCACTTTACCCTGTCCTGTACCTATGTAAATACACTGTGATAATCTGTTGTAGATACTACAGTGTGGGGCAGTGTTGTGGTGGTCCACTTTACCCTGTCCTGTACCTATGTAGTATACACTGTGATAATCTGTTGTAGATACTACAGTGTGGGGCAGTGTTGTGGTGGTCCACTTTACCCTGTCCTGTACCTATGTAGTATACACTGTGATAATCTGTTGTAGATACTACAGTGTGGGGCAGTGTTGTGGTGGTCCACTTTACCCTGTCCTGTACCTATGTAGTATACACTGTGATAATCTGTTGTAGATACTACAGTGTGGGGCAGTGTTGTGGTGGTCCACTTTACCCTGTCCTGTACCTATGTAGTATACACTGTGATAATCTGTTGTAGATACTACAGTGTGGGGCAGTGTTGTGGTGGTCCACTTTACCCTGTCCTGTACCTATGTAGTATACACTGTGATAATCTGTTGTAGATACTACAGTGTGGGGCAGTGTTGTGGTGGTCCACTTTACCCTGTCCTGTACCTATGTAGTATACACTGTGATAATCTGTTGTAGATACTACAGTGTGGGGCAGTGTTGTGGTGGTCCACTTTACCCTGTCCTGTACCTATGTAGTATACACTGTGATAATCTGTTGTAGATACTACAGTGTGGGGCAGTGTTGTGGTGGTCCACTTTACCCTGTCCTGTACCTATGTAGTATACACTGTGATAATCTGTTGTAGATACTACAGTGTGGGGCAGTGTTGTGGTGGTCCACTTTACCCTGTCCTGTACCTATGTAGTATACACTGTGATAATCTGTTGTAGATACTACAGTGTGGGGCAGTGTTGTGGTGGTCCACTTTACCCTGTCCTGTACCTATGTAGTATACACTGTGATAATCTGTTGTAGATACTACAGTGTGGGGCAGTGTTGTGGTGGTCCACTTTACCCTGTCCTGTACCTATGTAGTATACACTGTGATAATCTGTTGTAGATACTACAGTGTGGGGCAGTGTTGTGGTGGTCCACTTTACCCTGTCCTGTACCTATGTAGTATACACTGTGATAATCTGTTGTAGATACTACAGTGTGGGGCAGTGTTGTGGTGGTCCACTTTACCCTGTCCTGTACCTATGTAGTATACACTGTGATAATCTGTTGTAGATACTACAGTGTGGGGCAGTGTTGTGGTGGTCCACTTTACCCTGTCCTGTACCTATGTAGTATACACTGTGATAATCTGTTGTAGATACTACAGTGTGGGGCAGTGTTGTGGTGGTCCACTTTACCCTGTCCTGTACCTATGTAGTATACACTGTGATAATCTGTTGTAGATACTACAGTGTGGGGCAGTGTTGTGGTGGTCCACTTTACCCTGTCCTGTACCTATGTAGTATACACTGTGATAATCTGTTGTAGATACTACAGTGTGGGGCAGTGTTGTGGTGGTCCACTTTACCCTGTCCTGTACCTATGTAGTATACACTGTGATAATCTGTTGTAGATACTACAGTGTGGGGCAGTGTTGTGGTGGTCCACTTTACCCTGTCCTGTACCTATGTAGTATACACTGTGATAATCTGTTGTAGATACTACAGTGTGGGGCAGTGTTGTGGTGGTCCACTTTACCCTGTCCTGTACCTATGTAGTATACACTGTGATAATCTGTTGTAGATACTACAGTGTGGGGCAGTGTTGTGGTGGTCCACTTTACCCTGTCCTGTACCTATGTAGTATACACTGTGATAATCTGTTGTAGATACTACAGTGTGGGGCAGTGTTGTGGTGGTCCACTTTACCCTGTCCTGTACCTATGTAGTATACACTGTGATAATCTGTTGTAGATACTACAGTGTGGGGCAGTGTTGTGGTGGTCCACTTTACCCTGTCCTGTACCTATGTAGTATACACTGTGATAATCTGTTGTAGATACTACAGTGTGGGGCAGTGTTGTGGTGGTCCACTTTACCCTGTCCTGTACCTATGTAGTATACACTGTGATAATCTGTTGTAGATACTACAGTGTGGGGCAGTGTTGTGGTGGTCCACTTTACCCTGTCCTGTACCTATGTAGTATACACTGTGATAATCTGTTGTAGATACTACAGTGTGGGGCAGTGTTGTGGTGGTCCACTTTACCCTGTCCTGTACCTATGTAGTATACACTGTGATAATCTGTTGTAGATACTACAGTGTGGGGCAGTGTTGTGGTGGTCCACTTTACCCTGTCCTGTACCTATGTAGTATACACTGTGATAATCTGTTGTAGATACTACAGTGTGGGGCAGTGTTGTGGTGGTCCACTTTACCCTGTCCTGTACCTATGTAGTATACACTGTGATAATCTGTTGTAGATACTACAGTGTGGGGCAGTGTTGTGGTGGTCCACTTTACCCTGTCCTGTACCTATGTAGTATACACTGTGATAATCTGTTGTAGATACTACAGTGTGGGGCAGTGTTGTGGTGGTCCACTTTACCCTGTCCTGTACCTATGTAGTATACACTGTGATAATCTGTTGTAGATACTACAGTGTGGGGCAGTGTTGTGGTGGTCCACTTTACCCTGTCCTGTACCTATGTAGTATACACTGTGATAATCTGTTGTAGATACTACAGTGTGGGGCAGTGTTGTGGTGGTCCACTTTACCCTGTCCTGTACCTATGTAGTATACACTGTGATAATCTGTTGTAGATACTACAGTGTGGGGCAGTGTTGTGGTGGTCCACTTTACCCTGTCCTGTACCTATGTAGTATACACTGTGATAATCTGTTGTAGATACTACAGTGTGGGGCAGTGTTGTGGTGGTCCACTTTACCCTGTCCTGTACCTATGTAGTATACACTGTGATAATCTGTTGTAGATACTACAGTGTGGGGCAGTGTTGTGGTGGTCCACTTTACCCTGTCCTGTACCTATGTAGTATACACTGTGATAATCTGTTGTAGATACTACAGTGTGGGGCAGTGTTGTGGTGGTCCACTTTACCCTGTCCTGTACCTATGTAGTATACACTGTGATAATCTGTTGTAGATACTACAGTGTGGGGCAGTGTTGTGGTGGTCCACTTTACCCTGTCCTGTACCTATGTAGTATACACTGTGATAATCTGTTGTAGATACTACAGTGTGGGGCAGTGTTGTGGTGGTCCACTTTACCCTGTCCTGTACCTATGTAGTATACACTGTGATAATCTGTTGTAGATACTACAGTGTGGGGCAGTGTTGTGGTGGTCCACTTTACCCTGTCCTGTACCTATGTAGTATACACTGTGATAATCTGTTGTAGATACTACAGTGTGGGGCAGTGTTGTGGTGGTCCACTTTACCCTGTCCTGTACCTATGTAGTATACACTGTGATAATCTGTTGTAGATACTACAGTGTGGGGCAGTGTTGTGGTGGTCCACTTTACCCTGTCCTGTACCTATGTAGTATACACTGTGATAATCTGTTGTAGATACTACAGTGTGGGGCAGTGTTGTGGTGGTCCACTTTACCCTGTCCTGTACCTATGTAGTATACACTGTGATAATCTGTTGTAGATACTACAGTGTGGGGCAGTGTTGTGGTGGTCCACTTTACCCTGTCCTGTACCTATGTAGTATACACTGTGATAATCTGTTGTAGATACTACAGTGTGGGGCAGTGTTGTGGTGGTCCACTTTACCCTGTCCTGTACCTATGTAGTATACACTGTGATAATCTGTTGTAGATACTACAGTGTGGGGCAGTGTTGTGGTGGTCCACTTTACCCTGTCCTGTACCTATGTAGTATACACTGTGATAATCTGTTGTAGATACTACAGTGTGGGGCAGTGTTGTGGTGGTCCACTTTACCCTGTCCTGTACCTATGTAGTATACACTGTGATAATCTGTTGTAGATACTACAGTGTGGGGCAGTGTTGTGGTGGTCCACTTTACCCTGTCCTGTACCTATGTAGTATACACTGTGATAATCTGTTGTAGATACTACAGTGTGGGGCAGTGTTGTGGTGGTCCACTTTACCCTGTCCTGTACCTATGTAGTATACACTGTGATAATCTGTTGTAGATACTACAGTGTGGGGCAGTGTTGTGGTGGTCCACTTTACCCTGTCCTGTACCTATGTAGTATACACTGTGATAATCTGTTGTAGATACTACAGTGTGGGGCAGTGTTGTGGTGGTCCACTTTACCCTGTCCTGTACCTATGTAGTATACACTGTGATAATCTGTTGTAGATACTACAGTGTGGGGCAGTGTTGTGGTGGTCCACTTTACCCTGTCCTGTACCTATGTAGTATACACTGTGATAATCTGTTGTAGATACTACAGTGTGGGGCAGTGTTGTGGTGGTCCACTTTACCCTGTCCTGTACCTATGTAGTATACACTGTGATAATCTGTTGTAGATACTACAGTGTGGGGCAGTGTTGTGGTGGTCCACTTTACCCTGTCCTGTACCTATGTAGTATACACTGTGATAATCTGTTGTAGATACTACAGTGTGGGGCAGTGTTGTGGTGGTCCACTTTACCCTGTCCTGTACCTATGTAGTATACACTGTGATAATCTGTTGTAGATACTACAGTGTGGGGCAGTGTTGTGGTGGTCCACTTTACCCTGTCCTGTACCTATGTAGTATACACTGTGATAATCTGTTGTAGATACTACAGTGTGGGGCAGTGTTGTGGTGGTCCACTTTACCCTGTCCTGTGCCTATGTAGTATACATTGTGATAATCTGTTGTAGATACTACATTGTGGGTCAGTGTTGTGGTGGTCCACTTTACCCTGTCCTTTACCTATGTAAATACACTGTGATAATCTGTTGTAGATACTACAGCGTGGGGCAGTGTTGTGGGGGTCCACTTTACCCTGTCCTGTACCTATCTAGTATACACTGTGATAATCTGTTGTAGATACTACAGTGACGGGCAGTGTTGTGGTGGTACACTTTACCCTGTCCTGTGCCTATGTATATACACTGTGATAATCTGTTGTAGATACTACAGTGTGGGCCAGTGTTGTGGTGGTCCACTTTACCCTGTCCTGTACCTATGTAGTACATGTATGCACTGTGTTAATCTGTTGTAGATACTACAGTGTGGGTCAGTGGTGTGGTGGTCCACTTTAGACTGTCCTGTACCTATGTAGTATACACTGTAATAATCTGTTGTAGATACTACAGTGACGGGCAGTGTTGTGGTGGTACACTTTACCCTGTCCTGTGCCTATGTATATACACTGTGATAATCTGTTGTAGATACTACAGTGTGGGACAGTGTTGTGGTGGTCCACTTTACCCTGTCCTTTACCTATGTAAATACACTGTGATAATCTGTTGTAGATACTACAGCGTGGGGCAGTGTTGTGGGGGTCCACTTTACCCTGTCCTGTACCTATGTAGTATGCGTTGTGATAATCTGTTGTAGATACTACAGCGTGGGGCAGTGTTGTGGGGGTCCACTTTACCCTGTCCTGTACCTATCTAGTATACACTGTGATAATCTGTTGTAGATACTACAGTGTGGGACAGTGTTGTGGTGGTCCACTTTACCCTGTCCTGTACCTATGTAGGATACGTTGTGATAATCTGTTGTAGATACTACAGTGACGGGAAGTGTTGTGGTGGTCCACTTTACCCTGTCCTGTACCTATGTAGTACATGTATGCACTGTGATAATCTGTTGTAGATACTACAGTGTGGGGCAGTGTTGTGGTGGTCCACTTTACCCTGTCCTGTACCTATGTAGTATACGTTGTGATAATCTGTTGTAGATACTACAGTGTGGGGCAGTGTTGCTGTGATTGATTTCACCCTGTCCTGTGCCTATGCTATATATGCTGTGGTGATTGCACTGGAGGCACTGGGACACCAGGTAGCTAACCCACTACAGCATGAGGAGGGCAGGTAACAAAATATGACAGTCACTTTGCTTTTACAGATCATTGATTGGACCAAACTTTTGATACATCATATAACTTCATTGTGGAAATATAGGGCTACATATTCCGGTTGAAACGGTACAGGTTCGCAGAAATATTCCACGATAAACGAACTCACTTGGACTGCTCTATAAGCAGAGTTAAAAATGCGCAGTTTCGGAGAATAAATAACAATGATTCAAAAATATTATGCCCTTCTTTCACGCGTCCACTGAATTACATAATGTATTTCAAAAACAACATGTGGCTTGACATTGTTTTAATTAAAATCAATAAATATCCTATTGAGAAACTGATTCAATTGGACTTTGGAAACAAGATTTGTACATGTACTTAAATGATTTAAGTTACAACACTTTTAAATGAAACTTAATTTATGTCTCCCATTTCCTTGACAGAGAGATGGGTGGAGTGTTTATAATTATCTTCTGGCTGGGCATAGCTAGGTTCACCAATATTGGCAGGTAAGCTCTCTGTCTGTAGTTATCAACATATAAATCAGATTGATTCACCAAGCAGTTTTGTGAGGTTTTTCAAGTGACCTATTCCAATCACTTGCCGTCCGTCGTGCATAAACTTTTTACATTATCAACTTCTTCTCAAGAACCAGTGGATGGAATTTTTCAAACTTGGTCAAAATCATCCTTGGTAGATGAGGCTACCAAATTGTAAAATTGGGATTCCTACCCCAACCCTAGGGGCCAGGGCGGGTCCCAAAAGGGAAAATTAACCAATATTTCAAAAATCTTCTTCTCCAGACTCAGAGGTATTACAGTCATTTTCTCTGCATGGATGGAAAGATCATCAGGGGCTTTATTTAAATTGTAAATTACAGGAACCTCAAGCTATCCGTTCTCCCTTGGGGAGGAGGTTAAGTTTACTATAGTTTATATAGGGAAACAACACTTTTGGGTATATTTTGACAATTTTCTGTTTGAAATTATTCTTACTTGGTGAGAATTATCCTTGAAGGAAGATGGTTTTAAATTGTAAAATTGGAATTCCTGCCACAACCCTAGGGCCCAGGGCAGGGCCCAAAAGGGAAAATTAGCCAATATTTCAAAAATCTTCTTCTCCAGACTCAGAGGTATTACAGTAATTTTCTCTGCATGGATGGAAAGATTAATTTTCTCTGCATGGATGGAAAGATCATCAGGGGCTTAATTTAAATTGTAAATTTCAGGACCCCCGAGCTATCCATTCTCCCTTGGGGAGGGGGTAAAGTTTACTATAGTTTATATAGGGAAACAACACTTTTGGGTATATTTTGACAATTTTCTGTTGGAAATTATTTTTGCTTAGTGAGAATTGTCCTTGGAGGAGGAAGATGGGTAAAATTGGAATTCCTGCCACAACCTTAGGGGCCAGGGCCAGGGCGGGTCCAAAAGGGAAATTTAGCCAATATTTCAAAAATCTTCTTCTCCAGACTCAGAGGTATTACAGTCATTTTCTCTGCATGGATGGAAAGATCATCAGGGGCTTTATTTAAATTGTAAATTTCAGGAACCCCGAGCTATCCGTTCTCCCTTGGGGAGGGGGTAAAGTTTACTATAGTTTATATAGGGAAACAACACTTTTGGGTATATTTTGACAATTTTCTGTTGGAAATTATTTTTAATTATTGAGAATTATCCTTGGAGGAAGATAGTTTTAAATTGTAAAATTGGAATTCCTACCCCAACCCTAGGGGCCAGGGCGGGGCCCAAAAGGGAAAATTAACCAATATTTCAAAAATCTTCTTCTCCAGACTCGGAGGTATTACAGTCATTTTCTCTGCATGGATGGAAAGATCATCACGGGCTTTATTTAAATTGTAAATTTCAGGACCCCCGAGCTATCCGTTCTCCCTTGGGGAGGGGATAATGTTTACTATAGTTTATATAGGGAAACAACACTTTTGGGTATATTTTGACAATTTTCTTTTGGAAATTATTTTTACTTGGTCAGAATCATCTTGTGTGGATGACTGTATCACATTGTTAACATGGAATTCCTGCTAAAGGGTTGGTAAACAGTTCTGATTAAGAATAAACCTAGGCCTGCTAAAGGGTTGGTAAACAGTTCTGGTTATCCACTAGCGGGGAACAACCTGGACGTTATTGCATTGGTCAGTCTTCTAATTATGGTTTCAAGTAACAATGCCTTGTGACGTCATGTGGTATTTTGACGTCATGTGGTATTTTGACGTCCTAGTTCATAGTAACTGTTTTCCTGTTAGGTAACAGGAATAATGTATTCCGAAGAGAAATGTATGGTTTTCTAGATACAACATCTTGACATTGTGAGAGAGGAAAAAATCACCTAAGCCGTGATGGTTGATTATCATGTTAACCTCTCGTTAGTTAAATTTCAAATTGTAAATGATACTCGGTAAACCATGTGTCTTCAAAAAAAATGAAAATTAACACACAACAATAAGATAAACATTATAACAAACCACCTCTCCTAGGGGAACCTCTTTTTACTATGCCTTGATCTGTCAGGAGACTGACTCGTTAAACTATACATATTTGAAGTATAATTTCTATCCTCTAGGCCTGGGACCAGTGTTACAAACAAGAACCTGATGAACGCCCTGTTGCTGATGACCATCACGCTGACGCTCCTACCCCTGTTGACTTGGTCACTGTGTTTTGTCAGTGACTGGCACACAAAGCTGGCACACTGTAACAATATGTTCAAACAGTGACATTCTCTCCAGAAGCTGTGTTCTACACTGAGCATGTGGTCACAATTAAAGTTGTTGTCGCGTGACCAAAATGTTCCATTCCACTGACAGCTATAATCCTGTCGACCAGCCTCTACAGGACCAGTGTCTGACATAAGCATGTAATTCTGTATACCACCAGTATTTAGTCACAGACTCGCACTTTGTGTGAAATTATCATGAAGTCATTGGATTACTAGGATGTGCAATAGATTGTGTATAAACATTGAGGTTTGTAATGTTCCCATATAAAAGTGTTACTAAGTTATCACCTGATGCCATGTATTTATTAATAAAATTCAGTATAAATGTATTCAGTTATGTCTTATATTGGTTTATACTTCCATGGTATAACAAGCAATTCTTTATTTACCAAACTGTACACCTATCTCAGGATATAGGTCACTGTGACATATTTCTTGTACTCTGCACCTCAACAGCGAAGACGTACATGCATACCAAATCTGCAGTACAAATAAAAGCACTACTAAGTTTGTTCAAATAAATGACCTTCACCCATATTCAAGGTCACAGGGGTCAAATATGTTGAAATCTCTAAATATTTTCTTCTGTAAAACCGGAAGGTCCAAAGTGATGATATTTGGTCAGAAGGATGTTGGGATGAAGGGCTACCAAGATTGTTCAAACAAATGACCTTCACTCATATTCAAGGTCAAAGGAGTCGATTGTCTTAAAAACTTTTTAACAACTTCTTCTGTATAACCAAAAGGTCAAGGGTGATGATATTTGGCCAGAAATATGTTTGCATTCTGGGAAGAAGGGCTATGTTTGATTTTTAAGGTCACAGGTCAAATGTGTTTTAATCTTTTAACAGGTTTTTCTGAATGACTTGAAGTCAAGACACCGATATCTTGCCTGTAGCTTTATTTTAGTCCACTTTTAAGGTTACAATTCTGTTTTGTCAATTGTTCCTATAAGCAGTCAGGTGTGATACTGCACAGAAAATTCCCTTTCACAGTCTGCAGTTTGGATGCTAGTGGAGATAGCTAGCCTTTTATCCTAGCGTGCTACTGGCCAAATATCAACATCCTGGGCATTTTGGTTATTCAGAAGAAGTTGTTTAAAGGTTTATTTTGGAAAATTGTTTAGAAGTGAACTTGAATATGAGTGAATGTCATTCATTTGATCAACTTGGTAGCACTTCATCCAAGTATGCTTCTGGCCAAATATTATCACCCTGGGCCTTCTGGCTGTTCAAAAAAAGTTGTTAAAAGATTTTGAACATATTTGATCCTTGTGACCTTGAAAAAAATCAAGGTTATTCATTTGAACAAACTTAGTAGCCCTTCATCCTAGCATGCTACTGGACAAATATCAGCATCCTGGGCCTTTTGGTTATTCAGAAGAAGCTCTTTGAAGATTTTAAGAAATCGGACCTCAGTGACCTTGAAAGTTAGTCAAGGTCATTCATTTGAACAGAAGTGGTAGCCCTTCATCCCGGTTTGCTGCACGCTCAATATCAGTATCTGGGGCCTTTTGGTTATTGAAAAGAAGTCTTTTGTAGATTTTGACACATTTGACCCCTATGACCTTGAAAGTGGGCCAAGATCATTCTTTTGAACAAACTTGGAAGTGCTTCATCCCAACATGCTACAGGCCCAATATCAGTACCCTGGGCCTTTTGATTATTGAGAAGAAATTGTTTGAAGATTACATTATAACTCTGTGACCTTGAAAGCTGGTTAAGTTCATTCATTTTAACAAACTTGGTAGCCCTTCATCTCAGCATGCTACTGGTCAAATATTATAACCCTGGGCCTTCTGGCTGTTCAAAAAAAGTTGTAAAAAGGTTTTGAACATATTTGAGCCTTGTGACCTTGAAAAAAAATCAAGGTTATTCATTTGAACAAACTTAGTTTCCCTTCATCTCAGCATGCTACTGGCCAAATATCATCACCCTGGGCCTTTTGGTTATAAAGAAGTCGTTTAAAGATTTTGAACATATTTGACCCCTGTGACCTGAAATATAAGTCAAGGTCATCCATTTAAACAAACCTGGTAGCCCTTCATCCTAGTCTGCTACTGACTAAATATCAACATCCTGGGCATTTTGGTTATTTAGAAGAAGTCATTTAAAGATTTTTAACATGTTTGATCCCTGTGACCTGAAATATAAGTCAAGGTCATTCATTTAAACAAACTTGGTAGCCCTTCATTCCAGCATGATACTGACCAAATATCACCACACTGGTCAATTTGCTTATTCATCAGAAGCTGTTTTAAGATTTTTTAAGACAATTGACCCCTGGGACCTTGACAATTAGTGAAGGTCATTTATTTGAACAAACTTGGTAGCCCTTCATCCCAGTTTGCTTCTGGCAAAATATCATCACCCTAGGTCTTTTGGTTATCAGGGGCGTAACAAACAGGTTTTCAATGTGTAAGCCCAATGATGAAGTGTGCTGCTGAAGGCAACACCCCGAAGCGAGAGGATGGGGAGGGTATGGGAGGGGGTCTGGGGGGTCTCCCCCATGAGAATTTTGTTTTCTAGAACGCCTGAGACGCATTCTCCCGTGTTCTGGCGTCAGTTTCAATGGCCATTTTAAAGCAAGAAAATATCGTTTTCCCCTATTATTTTACAAATATTTTGCTTTTTGGGTACGTAGGGATTGGTACTCATCTACGCCAATTCTGTTATGGAGTTCGGTAACATTAATATTATTCCACGGAAAAGAAAAATCTAAAATCATGTGGATTTTGGGATAGTTGTTGTAAGAGTGCGACGTTTTTCCTCGTGACAGTGACTCCGTTTGCACAGGGATATGAGACTAGTATCACAAGCTAGCACTAGGAATAGTTTAACATTATGTACATAAGAACCGATATACTGGTCAATGTGTAAAATATAAGCCATGGTTGATGACCATTCAATATGTATTTTGTATTAATAAAGGGGATAAAAATCAAAGGAACAGTTTTTTATTTCACGGTGGGCGGGGGTCTAGTGAGTACTATGTGTATACCAATAATTTGCATAGCTAGACTCGCACTGACACGGTTACCATGTCGAATGATTGAAGCCAGGCTACCAACCATATTGTTCCCTTTATATGTATAAAAGCGGTAAAAAAATAAGAAACACTTTATTTCACGGGGAAAATTAGAGTTAGTGTTTGGGTACACCGATAATTAGCAAGGCTAGAGTTTCACTGGCGCGGCTACCACGCCGATTGAATATGCTACCCTCAGTTCTACATTTGCTACATAGGTTGTTACGCGCCTGGTTATTAAGAAGAAGTTGAAAATATTGACGTGGCTTCACGTCATAAGCTCACTTGGCCCTTTGGGCCAGGTGAGCTAAAAACAATAAGAACATGATTGGTCTTTCAAAATCAAATTTAATTAGTAGGGCACTGGCAGTACGTAAAATGTACTGAGCACATATTAATGTTTAATACAGACCAGTTTATAAGACACCCAACATATCACAGGGCTTCAGCATAGGGTAGCATATCTACTACATCACACATACACACTCTGGGTTCACACAGAGATCCTACAACATAGCTTACACAAGGCTCTTTACCCACATCACACAGGACAACCATGTTATGTCTTTTTAGTTACATCACACAATAAACAGAGGGTTCATTACATTACAATTTATTGAGGGCTCATTGCTGACATCACACAGCTTACAGGGCTCATTACTTAGCTCACACATCTTACAAAGAGCTCATTACATTAAAATTTACCATGAGCTTACTGCTAATTGCTTACATCACATGGCTTACAGGGCTCATTGCTTACATCACACGGCTTACAGAGAGCTCATAACATTAAAATTTACCATGAGCTTACTGCTGATTGCTTACATCATACAGCTTACAGGGCTCATTAGTTACATCACACAACTTACATAGAGTTCATCACATTACAGTTTACTGTGGGGTCATCACACAGCTTACAGGGCTCATAACTTCCATTAACTGAACGCTCATTAGGTACATGTACATCACACTGCTTACAGGGCTCATAACTTCCATTCACTGAACGCTCATTAGTTACATGTACATCGCACTGCTTACAGGGCTCATAACTTCCATTAACTGAACGCTCATTAGTTACATGAACATCACACTGCTTACAGGGCTCATAACTTCCATTCACTGAACGCTCATTAGTTACATGTACATCGCACTGCTTACAGGGCTCATAACTTCCATTCACTGAACGCTCATTAGTTACATGTACATCGCACTGCTTACAGGGCTCATAACTTCCATTCACTGAACGCTCATTAGTTACATGTACATCGCACTGCTTACAGGGCTCATAACTTCCATTAACTGAACGCTCATTAGTTAGATGTACATCATACTGCTTACAGGGCTCATAACTTCCATTAACTGAAAGCTTATTAGTTACATGTACATCATACTGCTTACATGGAGCCCATTACATTGCAGTTACTTACATCACACAGCTTACAGGGCTCATAACTTCCATTAACTGAACACTCATTAGTTACATGTACATCACACTGCTTACATGGAGCCCATTACATTGCAGTTACTTACATCACACAGCTTACAGGGCTCATAACTTCCATTAACTGAACGCTCATTAGTTACATGTACATCACACTGCTTACAGGGCTCATTACTTCCATTAACTGAACGCTCATTAGTTACATGAACATCACACTGCTTACAGGGCTCATAACTTCCATTAACTGAACGCTCATTAGTTACATGTACATCACACTGCTTACATGGAGCCCATTACATTGCAGTTACTTACATCACACAGCTTACAGGGCTCATAACTTACATCACAGTTTACCAAGGGCTCACCAGTCACAAAACATAGCTTACAGAAAGCTCAACAGCTTCTTTACACAGCTTACAGAGAGCTCATTACATTTCAGTTTACTGTAGGCTCACTATAATTACCTACCTGGTACATTATCACTCACATTTCTCAGGACCCGATATTTCCATCACAGACAGCTTACCGAAGACCTCATGCGTTAATCACAGAGGACAACGGATGAGCACTGTAAGTAATTGACATCGGGATACTCACCTCGGGCTCATCACAAGCACCTCACACATACAGCTTACCAAGGTCTTACTTGAGTACCAATTTATCAACAAAGCACACCTGACCGTTTTAGCACCCAGGACCTACAGTACGCATAAAGTATACAACATGCACAACAGATTAAACATGGCAGGGTTACTTACAACACATATTCTAGAACAGAGTTCTTAGAGAAATAAATTACTCGCATATAAAAATGTACACATAATTTTATGATAATAATTAGCAGTAGCAAGAACAGGTATCTTGTTGTCACAAAATACATATCACGAGTTCATTTAGAATACTTAAAATGTACTCGGTATGATAATATAATTGAACTGTTTCTATTTTGCAGAACTCGGAGCTGATATGATGTTAACAATTAGAAACTAGAACAAATATGTAAATTTTGGATATGTTTAACTCCAGGAGAGAATTAACAGTCGAAATGTTTGATTATATGGAGAATGTTGTTAGCAGACTTTAAAAAAAATATACTGTAATCATGTTTGGCTGACAAAGTCTTAGATTCATCATTTGTTCATTTCTCACAAGCATACCAGAATATCTGGAGTTAGTACATTATACAATGAAATTTCACAAATCCCTGAAGATGCAGTGTCAAGTATCCAAAAGGTCCAATATTAAAGACAATCATTTAAGTACATACCGAAATACAAAATTAAGAATGTAGGTGGGGGTAGACTACAGTTATGATTGTACTTAACATTGCAAATTCATGTTTACATATATATAGCACATTTCTAATAGTATACAAGCATACAGTTCAATGACTTTGTGGCAAATAAGTATCAATCTGCAGACATACACCTATCACACTTCTGAAGTCTTATTTTTACATTATGCTTGATTGACAGAACAGAAACACACTACTTTTACACAACAGAACACCTTACACATTAATTTATTGAGTTGATCGATAGCATTATATTGCACTGCTACATGTAGTATGTTATTTCAACATTGCAGCACACTGTATCACTAGGCAGCACACTGTATTACTAGGCAGCACACTGAATCACTAGTACTATTTCTGCAGCATTGTACTTATTACAAGGGTAGTTTCCGGAGCCTAACAGCTGGCAGTACAGGGTATCATGCCCTGTACCATGTCAAGCACTCCCTTCAATCTTCATATTCTGTTTTCTTTAATACGTGTACAGATTCATCAGTGCTAAAGCCAAAACCTTTCCTACCCCAGTACATATTATATTCCAACTCAGGAAAGATGAAGAAGCCAAACACAACCCAATACCAGCAATGTCACATTTACACTCACACTTATAATAATGTGATACATATTTGTCTTACAAAGCCCAACCTCAGTTACATATAAATACATCTCTCTCCTCTACATAGTAACAAGGCCAAACCTTCTAGCAGGTAACTTAACAAACAGCAGTGAGACTAATGCCTGCACAGGTCCCCGTAGATCCAGCTAAATATCACCAGCTAATTACTTCATAATATACAAAATATATAAATACAAATCCCTGTGCAAATGATAATGTGGCAAAAGATTCAATCACACATTCCAATCAATCAACACTTGTATACTTCAACAAACGTTCTACTGCCGCAGTGCGGACACTACACTATAAAGGCTTTAGGACTTAGCCACAAACTTTCACACCACAGTTTGACACACACATATCTACCACTCACATCACAGTCTTGTATATATACCAACCATTCCATACTGGCCACACTTGTAATACTGTATCCAATACAGAGTCAAATGCCACAATTCTATATTATATTACAGAGTTTAAAATTCATACTATTTGTACAAGTATATATAGATCATAATTGTATTTCATTCAATACTCTATATTGTTAGGCTTCTAGTCAAATTAATATATGTACCATTCCATGGTAATACTATTACTGTATTAACTAACCTGGGCAGTGGTCCATCAGCTGAACATCTATCCCAGATATCTATAGCTGAATCGAAGAACTATACTAAGCTAGGCTTACAAAAATATGCCCATTTAATCATTGTAGCCAACATTGCCACCTTCAACTTTTTCAAAAAGCAGATTTTTGTTGGAGATCCAGTCAAGGATGTGGTTATAAGGATGTGCTGACTCCTTGGCAAAGTTATAATACAGTTTACAAGTTCCATTGATAAAAGTTTAGTCCATGAAAAGATTGCCAAGCAGAAATATCAGAAGTTATTTTTAATTCCTATGATTTATGTCAAATGTTGGAAGAGCACTGTCATGGTGGTGATTTGTAACACAATACAGACACACCTGTCATGGCTGTTAAGTAATGTGACTACTAAAACAGTAAGCCAAACTTAACATAGCCCTTGTTGATCAGTTAGTATGGGGTCTGTCCCTGAACAAATATATTGAATCAGCATTCTAGATTCACATTCGCTTCTATAATATTGTTGGTTAAGCATACCAAGTTTCAAAATAATCAGAAGTCAAGATAAACGAAGGAAAAGCTCTCAAACCAGATTCTTTCTGTGGATATAGGGATAGACAGACAAATTGATTGGAGTATAACCCCCCACCAACCTTGTTGTGGGATATACTATACAGAAGGGTATAGTCATTGTACTATACACCCCAGGAGACTCATAAGGTGTGCATTGCGACACTCACAGCTACAGTTAGCACAGCAACCAATATATTAACTAGTAAAAATCTATTTTTTTGATTCAACTAATCTAAACTAACAACCAACAATAATTGTGCCTTAACACTCTGGTACAATCCACACTGACGGCGTCGAACTGCAAGATTACAATCCACACTGATTTTGTTACATCAACAGATTACAATCCACACTGATGGTGTCCCACCACAAGATTACAATCCAAACTGATGGTGTGACACCACAAGATTACAATCCACACTGATGTCGTGACACCACAAGATTACAATCCACACTGATGGTGTCACACCAAAAGATTACAATCCACACTGATGGTGTGACACCACAAGATTACAATCCACAAAGACTGTCACCACAAGATTACAATCCACACTGATGGTGTGACATCACAAGATTACAAACCACACAGACAGTGTCACCACAAGATTACCATCCACACTGATGCTGTGACACCACAAGATTACAATCCACACTGATTTTGTTACATCAACAGATTACAATCCACACTGATGGTGTCCCACCACAAGATTACAATCCAAACTGATGGTGTGACACCACAAGATTACAATCCACACTGATGCTGTGACACCACAAGATTACAATCCACACTGATTTTGTTACATCAACAGATTACAATCCACACTGATGGTGTCCCACCACAAGATTACCATCCACACTGATGGTGTCACACCGCAAGATTACAATCAACACAGACAGTGTCACACCACAAGATTACAATCCACACTGATGGTGTGACACCACAAGATTACAAACCACACAGACAGTGTCACCACAAGATTACCATCCACACTGATGCTGTGACACCACAAGATTACAATCCACACTGATGGTGTCACACCCCAAGATTACAATCCACACTGATGGTGTCACACCGCAAGATTACAATCAACACAGACAGTGTCACACCACAAGATTACAATCCACACTGATGGTGTCACACCACAAGATTACCATCCACACTGATGGTGTCACACCGCAAGATTACAATCCACACGGACAGTGTCACACCACAAGATTACAAATCACACTGATGGTGTGACACCACAAGATTACAATCCACACTGATGGTGTCACACCAAAAGATTACAATCCAAACTGATGGTGTGACACCACAAGATTACAATCCACATTGATGGTGTGACACCACAAGATTACAATCCACAAAGACTGTCACCACAAGATTACAATCCACACTGATGGTGTGACACCACAAGATTACAAACCACACTGATGGTGTGACACCACAAGATTACAAACCACACAGACAGTGTCACCACAAGATTACCATCCACACTGATGCTGTGACACCACAAGATTACAATCCACACTGATGTCGTGACACCACAAGATTACAATCCACACTGATGGTGTGACACCACAAGATTACAAACCACACTGATGGTGTGACATCACAAGATTACAAACCACACAGACAGTGTCACCACAAGATTACCATCCACACTGATGCTGTGACACCACAATATTACAATCCACACTGATGGTGTGACACCACAATATTACAATCCACACTGATGTCGTGACACCACAAGATTACAATCCACACTGATGGTGTGACATCACAAGATTACAATCCACACTGATGGTGTCATACCACAAGATTACAATCCACACTGATGGTGTCACACCACAAGATTACAATCCACACTGATGGTGTCACACCACAAGATTACAATCCACACAGACAGTGTCACACCACAAGATTACTATCCACACTGATGGTGTCATGCAAGACAGTACATTTTCTTACTTTTCTTTAGAACTCAATGTACATCGGATGACATTGTTTCTCATACAATGGGAATGACGACACATACCAACTTATACATATATCTGTCGTCACAAGTTCATTGTCTCAAAGTAGAGTCAAAAACACCTCATAGCTAACCAGTACACATACTCTGGTAAATACCAACTTATACATGTATCTGTCGTCACAAATTCATTGTCTCAAAGTACAGTCTAAAACACCTCATAGCTTACCACCACACACCAGAACCTCAAATTATCCAAACCTTCAGTGTGTCCCCAATTTATTACTAATCTTTTAAATCATTGCCTTTTTACAATAAGCTTAAACAAGTACACACAAATATGTTTGATCGGCCATACAATACCACCTCTACTTGTTACTCAAATGTATACACAATGATCAACATCATCTACCTGTTTGTGGTAATCAGAAGCACCTGAATGTCACGTACAAATAAATACTTGTCCTCAAATTTGTTCAGATATGTGGCACTGTACTGTAAACTACAGTAGTATTCATATAGGACATATGTCTGTATAGGAAATCTAGTCATGGTGATAGTAACGAGTCTCTATGTATAGTCTGTAAGTCAGAAGCAACAGTGGTAATGCTGGCAGTAACGAGCAGGTTCACTACTTGTGGCTTTCAAATCCCAGGCATTGATGTGTATGTTGGCTATATCTACCAGACTTTCCAGTTTGTATTTCTGAAGAGGTGTTATTTCCTTTCTTGACTTATTTCCTTTTAGTCTATAGATTTGAGACAAGGAGTTGAAGACCCCAACAGTCATGAATACAGTGTTCATTTGTTCAGCTTTACAAAGCAGAGTCAGTCCACACACAACAGAAATAAATCAATACAGTCGCATCACACTTGAGCACTAAGTTTCAACCGGGGTCAATCATACTCCAAAATTTGTTTGTGATAGAACAGCAGATATCTGTAGTAAGAAGAAATGAATGTTATAAACAGGAATATTATACAACCAGGATATTCGACATATTAAACAAGTATAAGTTCACCAGTCAAAATCAATTATTGGGCTATCAGGCCATTCAAATTATAACACAGCATCATAGCATCATTTGAGATGTTCTTTCAGGTGAAATCATGATCAAATAAGAATAGTTTAGTAAATTCACAGGTTGAAAATGCTCAATTTTGGGGTTCAAAATCGAGAGTCTCCCTCCTTAATAGGTAGAGTTGGCAAGTATGCCATAGGCAACCTATTTATAAGCTACAGATATTATTCTTAATAAACCTGAAAATATAGAACAAAATGCTTAAGTCACTTAATCCTGATTTCAATCCACTATTACTAACATATCATGATCAACTACTGTATGCTGTTCCTTAACTTTGTCTATTGTAAAGATTCTATCATAAAACCTCACTTATATGTAGTAAATACTCACGTCGGATAAAGTAGGATAAACAGCAAACGTTTGTGGGCAACCACAAGATTAATGTCCACTGGGGTTATTGTTTAAGCTCAGTGACAATTTCACAAAATATCAAAGTATTATCAGTTTTTGAAATTCAATCAGAATGAAAGAACAATAGAAAGCCTGTACATTGTAAGTACTTACTGTCACTTGTCGTGTCATTGTTATCCTACTGTAATGTCTTACCCTTCACTGTTGAGAACATCACGTGTCATTGTTATCATATTGAAATGTCTTACCCTCCACTGTTGAGAACATCACGTGTCATTGTTATCATACTGTAATGTCTTGCCCTTCACTGTTGAGAACATCACGTGTCATTGTTATCATACTGAAATGTCTTACCCTTCACTGTTGAGAACATCACATGTCATTGTTATCATACTGAAATGTCTTACCCTTCATTGTTGAGAACATCACGTGTCATTGTTATCATACTGTAATGTCTTACCCGTAACTGTTGAGAACATCACGTGTCATTGTTATCATAATGTAATGTCTTACCCTTCACTGTTGAGAACATCATGTGTCATTGTTATCATACTGAAATGTCTTACCCTTCATTGTTGGGAACATCACGTGTCATTGTTATCATACTGTAATGTCTTAGCCTTCACTGATGAGAACATCACGTGTCAATGTTATCATACTGTAATGTCTTACCCTTCACTGTTGAGAACATCACGTGTCATTGGTATCATACTGTAATGTCTTACCCTCCACTGTTGAGAACATCACATGTCATTGTTATCATACTGTAATGTCTTACCCTTTACTGTTGAGAACATCACGTGTCATTGTTATCATACTGTAATGTCTTACCCGTCACTGTTGAGAACATCACGTGTCATTGTTATCATAATGTAATGTCTTACCCTTCACTGTTGAGAACATCACCAGGCAGTGCCTTGTTGATTAGATGGTCATCACATTTGAACCACTGGTCCTTCAGTTGCCTGATGAAGCAGGTGTAGTGACCACTCTCAATTGTGCCCATGTGGTTCACCACAGCAAACAAAGAATACCTGTTATGTACAATGTCTAAGATCAGAAACCTAGTCAACCAGTGTTAAAGCAGATACGCAAAAGCAATCATGAATGATAATATTTAAAGAAGACTGAAATTTTATTCTATTTTGTTATTTCTATGCCCTTTTGGATTGTATTCTAACAAAGCACATTGTAAGAAATTATCTATTCAGTATAAAGCATAGTATGGTGTTTATGATAAAGACCCTGAAAGTAAGTCATTTCAGGATTAAATCTTGCTTGTCGATTTCATGAGGTATTGAAATGAGTTGGTATGGAGACAAATTCAACAAACTGCAAAACAATATCTCAGTAATCCTGATAGTGACTTGTCTCTGACAGTACGTTATAAACTCTTGACATGGAATATTTTGACATCTGATTTCCTCAAGTCAAACACTGTTACAGTACCAGGAATCCACCTACTTGTTATCACATGAAAGCCCTCTGGAAGATTCCTGAATGACCTGATTATTGTAGCCATTAGTGTTGTTGCGGGAGGAGGACATGAAAGGGGTCATGTCCAGCTCCTCGGGGAATGACACGTAAGTCGAGATCTTCTTGTGGTACCCTGTTGAATGCTCAAATCTCTGAAAAATCAAACGAGTTTGCTATCAGTCCTCGTGCATGATCCCTTTCACCCCTATGTAACTTTAGTAGACTCTACCATGCATTGATATGGAGGGGTCGATTATGGTCTACTGTGGTGAAAGGGTTAACTTTAATGAATGATGGAATTTTTTAGAAACAGATAAAAAATTAAATTAAAAGACCCTTTGTTTTGGCCTATGCCCTTCTGCAGGATATATAGCAGCTTATGGTCATCTTTGCATAGTGTGCTGTACACTATCTACTGTCAAATGTGACTGAACAATCAAACTAGATGTACAGCAAAATTAGCTGAGTTTTAATTATGTTCTCCCCCCAACAAAGACTATCAAGGCATATTTTAGGTCACAATGTTTTCTTACTTTGAGATGAAAGCATGCAACTATAGGCAATTTCTTCATGGTCAGTTGTTTGGTAGACTCCTGATAACTACTGCAGGTACTACATTTTATCTTGGCTGAACTGCCCAGGTGCTCAGGTTTTGTAAACCTAATAAAGAAAGCAAAGTAAACCATGTACATAATTCTCCATATATGTTCTGATTATATTATACACAACAGTAAAGCATATTAATTATGCATATTTAATTTCTATAAACAGATCACTCTTTGAATGTAAGTTATACAAAAAACCTCTGCATTTAAACAGAAAGTACATTAAGTAGCTATCAAATGGTTATAAGGAATGTTAATAATGAATTTTACCTTTTTAAACATTCTAAAAGTGAGGTAGGTTCATATGTTCCGGGGCTATTAGTAAAACCTGAAACAAGGAACAAAATCAAACTTAACACATGGTCACTTATTTCATTGTCAGAATGTTTGGAGCTTTTACTGTAGAATTTTACTAAGTTCTCTGGGTGTAGTTGTGAAAACATTAGGAAAACATTAATTTCTGATGGTTCATTAATTATTATTTTTTTAAATACATAGACAACTCACCTGAGTTCGGAGAAGAGTTGGAGTTACTGCTGCCTCCAGCTGGTGGACCAGGACCCAAATCCAGTGAAATATCCCAGATTGGATCGATCGTTGTGGAAACATTACTGAAATTTTACAACAAGACATTTTTATTTAAATTTTTGACTTTCATTCCTACTGACTGATACTCACATGTATATTTTGACATTTAAGGTCATATAAGACAGGTAATAGCTAAATACAGAAGGTAGCTAATGCAGATTTGAATGAAACTAAAATATTATAAAAACCAGGTATCACAAGTGATACAAATCCCCTCGCATTCACACATTGTAACATATGTAAGAGATAATCAAGTCGCTAGAGCGATGACAAAGTTTTTTTTCTAAAAAATGTAACAGTGACCTTGACCTTCAACGTAGAAACCCGAAACAAGATTTGCTCAAGGCATTGCCATACCAAACACTTGTATGAAGTTTCATGAAATTCTGTTGAGGAATGAAGTCAATAGAGCGATGACAAAGTTTTTTCTGAAAATAGTAAAATGTGACCGTGACCTTCAACGCAGTAATCCGAAATGCATACTTGTTCAAGGTATTTTGTTGAGAAATGAAGTGGGTAGAGTGGTAACAAAGAGTGTAACATGCGTATGTACGGGCGTAGTCCTACATATATCCCCTCGAACTTTCGTTGAGATGGGGAAATAACACTGGCATGTCTATAAATAACTGGCCCCATTTCCCTATATAATTATACATACATTCAAAGACTGTTATGCTGCTAGCAATTGGAAATTTCAATGCAGGGTTAACTGTTCATATTTAAGTGTGTGTATCAGGTTTAGAACTTGTGAAAATATAATAACACCATCGTGGAACATTCAGAGAGTGAAATCGCAAAATTAACACCAAGTGAAAATAGCTACATTAACAGTAAAACTAATTTCCAAACAATCATATCATTTACTTATTCAAGTCAAATTTTGTGGTTCAACTGGTATTTTGTTTTCATTATATAAACTGCTAGGGTTCATGTTATACATCCCTCTATAATACCACCAAGTTTAGAAATTAACGTAATGAACATCATGTTAGACCCCACCAGGATACGACTTACTTGCACTGTTGACAAGTGACATCTGACTGGAGACCGCCAGTGAAGATCTGATCTATGATACAGTTACAGTGGTGAGGGTTCCCACTGCCATTACTGTCAGAGGTTCCTGTGGAGGTACAACATGTAGATCAAACACTATTCACTGCTACACTCACTGTAATCACAGACTCCACACTTAACTAAACCTGTAAGCCTGGGGTCAACGTATACCCCTTCCAACTACCTGTACAGGAGCATAACTCCAATGCAAACAGTTAAAATACGAAATAAATTGCAATAAGATACTGGTTTTGTTTACCCAGTTCCAGTTCTTTTGAGAAAATGTATAAAGATAAATCAGTTAAGAGTTGAATCAAGTCAAAATCAGATATAAAACACAATAGCAGAGCTACCTGAAATACTGATTATGTGTAATATCAGTTTCATAAAAAATTGGTTGAGAAAGCAAGAAGCAGTATCTTGGAGTGAATTTATGATAAGATCAAAATAAACAATTTATGTACCTATGTCTGACAGAAAATCAGTAAACAACGTCAAAATTACACATGTTCAATCAATAATGCATTTCCATTTATTATGGTATATTACAAAGTCATTTTTATCAAAAAAAAAAGAGTACTGCGGGGCGGAACAAAATACGCCCGTCGAATGCCATATAGTGTTATATACTTTCTTACATTGAAATAAGATCTGCATCATTCTAAGAGTGGTTAATTGATATGCTATAAAAAATGTAGGAGAAAATCTTCGGACAAAAAATCAAATACTGAAATGAACAAAAGGCAATAAATTTTGCAAAAATCGTCGAATCAAATTCTTTTAAGGGAGACACAACTTCCTCTCATGATTATAAAGTATACCAAGTTTCAAATAGATCGGTCGAAAAATGTAGGAGGAGATTGCCGGACAAACAAAGTTTACGCCGGCCAGCCGGCTGGACAACGCCATACCATAATACTACCGTCAAATTTGACAGTCGTATAATAAGAAAAAAGAAAAGGAATTTAGTTAATGAAACTGGTGCAGTATTAACCAAAAGGTATTAGCACTATAGACATAGGAAAAGTTCTAACTAACAAGTGTAGTAAATTAATATCCTGCCCTGGCAGAGTGCAGCAGTGGGTGACAAGTCCCAGAGAAACAGTCAGGAGCAAGTGCTGGTACAAAAAGGCAGCAGTGTTTTATACAGGAGATTTACAGTGAATTCAGTCATAAAATCCAACAGCAAAACATACTAGATATTAGAATATTAGATTTAGAAAAAAAATTGGAGTATTGGTCCAAATTGTTTACTTCAAATTAAATAAAATTTGTTCAAAATTATCCAAAACTCATGGAAATAAGTTATTTTTTAATGGTCTTTAGTTTATTAGTACAAACACCAAGTGTCCAACTGGTGTTAATCATTAGGTTATGTGAACACACAACCAACACAACTAAAACTGTACCAACCTGCATTTAACTGACTGTTGTAGGATAATAAAATATTATCGGAATAACCTTTACAGTGCCTGTGTAACACATCCAGGGCTGCTATAAGGAATTCATGAGCATCCTGCTGCTCGTAACCAGCCAGGTGGCGTGCGTTAGTCCACACCAGGTGAAGTAGTCTGTACGGGATATGTGGAGTTCTTGCCCCGCAATAAAACTACAACAAATTAAATAGGTATTAGATTTGGAATAAACTCTATCTAAACATACCCGACAACCCTGACTTAAAGAAGTGAGAGTATATGGTTTTGAAATTAAATTAGCCTTCCTGAGAGTAAAATTTTGACAGCATTACATTGTAACGTTGTTCAAGAAATAATTCTGATGTTTTTCTCGAATATTTCGATTAATTACTGATAAGAAGTCATAAATTTCATTTTAAATATTCTTCTTTGAAGTCATACACTGATATTAAAAATTTAATTAATGAAAAAGATAAGATAGAATTAATTAAATAATTACAAAACACAAATTGACATTCAAACTTTTTCTCAACAAATATTTCAGATTTTTTTTTTAAAGAAAGTCAAAGAGGATGGATAAAATGGAACATGTTCATTATTTTTGTCCACATGTTTCTTTATCAATACTAAGCATTTGACTGTTCACACCAAAGAAAGTAATATTTTATATTCAAATATTTGTTTTGTTGCAGAGGTTAAATGGACATGAAATGACAGCATAAATCAGCAAAAACGAAGTAAAAAATTTGCTGTACTTTATCTTACCTCCTGAAACAGACGTGACATTTCACAAACAAGGCACTGCCTTGCATCCTGGCTGAGCACCTGACAGCTGTGCTGGTCAGACAGAAAGAAGTCACGTAGCACCGGGGTGTGAGTCAAGGCTTGCACGATACAATTCATGAAGCAGGTGTTTCCTAAATTGATCAAGCCTCGCAATCCTTGTTGATAAAAAGATAAATGATTGAAATGGTCATTTTATTCACCAAGAAAGGTCAATTGAATGATGTGTAGCAGTAAAAACATTATTTTCACACAAGTTTTTTATATGAAACATTTTAATACCAAACCGTTTCATAACATGTCTGACACAGGAAAGGATCAAATTCAGCTGACTATTACTTATCCAATGTAGTTAACTTGATAAAGCCTCACCTATTGAGGACTTAATTTCTACTTTTCTTCTCTTTGGATTCTGACGAAGAATTTCTATCTCCACTTCATTGGGCTCCCATGATGAGAAATTAGCCCTTAAACCTGAAACAATACAGTTTTATGTAACATTACATAGACCTACAAAGACGAACAATAAAGGACAACTGACAAAGTCTTGTGAATTTATCATTTCAATTTTCAACCCTTGACAGGTGCTCTACCAACTCAATGAGCTCTGACCAAGTCTAGTTCAGCTAGTTTTATTTGAGTAAAAACTCAAACTTTCTATGACATTACAAGATACAGAATTATAAACTAATAAGCAAAAATTCAACTTAACTGCAAAGTGTTTGTGACAATGGTCAGGGCTTCAATGACTGCATCAACATCAAAGTGGTTTCTATTTTTACTGAAATAGCCCTTAGTTGGTTTCTAACATGAAGACAACTTTACCTATGCCCTTTTTTGATTTGGTATATTGCTTCCTGGCTATTTCTTCCAGCTGTTCATCATACATGTAGTCACCACATTCAAAACAGTAAACTGCGCCGTGGACCATGTCAACAGCTGAAAAAACAATTTATGAATTATAATTAAAAAATACCAGATCCACAAATGTCAAAAATACTGACAATTATGTAGGTTAATATAATATAGAATGAGATCCAACGTTAACTACTGGTAAATGTAGGCTGTCATCACATCTCTTCTTTTGAATTATGTAGGTTAGTTAATATTACATTATAATACATGTACATCAATATAAAACACATTTTTTTCCATTTGCTATCTTCCTTTGTGTTACTTTTATTGAAAGTATCTTTCTTCCTTTTTCTTAAAAAGAGTTTTATACTGGTATAGATTACTACCACTCATTTGCAGAAGTTCTGATACTGTCATGTAACACCAAGGTGTATGACCAAGTGAGTCTTACTAAGAGATAACCTGGATGTATATCAATATGATTTGATTTGTTGTATATATATTTGATCTAAACAAAGAAAAAAAAGAAAAAAACTCACCAAGGTGATGACCTTTAGTTTCTGCATGCTCATGGATATGCTTAGCACCATAACACCCAAAGTATATACAGTTAAGGCAGGCATGCAGGCGGGGTCCATGTAGTCTGCAGGTGTGACAGACACAGGATTTCGCCTGAAATTTGAAAAAAGAAAACTAATTAAATTAGTTGCATAAAAACATAGATTATTACTATAATAACATAAATATTTTATTTACCCATACTCATGAAGACTGGAACTTACAATATTTTTCCAATTACCATCACCCTCTTATAAAATACAAAACCAATATTTTTCTCAGTCGCCATAATTTTTACTAATCAGTGTTCCTGTTGAATGAAGATAAGTGCATATGCAAGAATAAGTCGGCAACCGCATTAATGCCACTACATTATCAGCAAATTTTGTGTTATGTAAATGTTAAATGACAAGCTGTCAATCAGCCCAATTTACACAACACTAAATGTTTATAGGTTCCATCGAAAATACCACTGATTATACAAGGTTGGGGATCATATCAATGAGGGACTGAATTTGAGGAAATATCTTTGCGAAAGCTCTGGTAAAATGTAATGGACAAGGGAGGGATTCAAACTCTAGACAGACACTCTAACCAAATGAGCTGCCTGGTCACCATTAGGTCACACCACTCTTTCCCACTGCACACATTCCTCGTTTTCCTAATTTTTTCACCTACCCAGAAGGCAACTTAATTTGCAAACGAAAATTGCTTATTACCATATATAATGTGTAGACAGTACATGATACCACTCACAAGGCCGGATTCTGTGCCAAACAGAGATTTCATCTGTGACCAATTTACGCTGCACATATGCAGCTTGAACTTATAACCTACATATCTATACAATGACACAAACACACTAAATATATGAAGATGTTTCATGAAATAAAGACACATTTTTTGGTGACAATTGCTTATTAAAGCAGCTTATATGCTTTTATTAAGGTTGTAAATCAGGACATTTTTTTTCAGTTACTGGGATATTCCCTCAAATGGGGGTCTCTCATTTAAGGGTAATCCCCACCTGTTTGCCAGGGGCCTTTTATGCGGAACAATGTTAACCGGTACGTCCGTTTTTAAATGTAACATTTTTGGGTATAAATCTTGACAGACCTGCAAACGTTTATGCAGACCTTGTCAAGGCTAGCCTGAAAGTAGCATCAGATAACTGGGTCGGACCTTATTTCATAAACGAACAACTCTGATCAAACCGTTTGGACCGTGATAAACGAAAACGGCCCAGAAAAACAACCTATATCGTATCAAAACAAAACGTGAATGTGGAAAAGGGGGACATTTCGGGTTGCTTACATTTATTGGGAACAAATGTAATTACTTTATGTTACGCATACGCTATCAAGATCTTGTTTCACTCCTTTTTGTCAAGTTTTAATTGATTTTTTTTTTCATTGCGTAACGTTTCTGAGACATCACTATGTATTGTAGATCTCCAGTGATTGGTTATGATATTATGTATTTATTTGATTATAAAATCAGATCTGACGTTCAGTCTATGTGGGTTTTCCGATATATTCCGTTTTGTTTTGAAAATGCAAAACATTACAGTAGACGGCTAACCTTCCGTCGCCTAGCATCAGCTGATGAACATGCTATGAAATATGTATGGATTATGCGAAAAGAGTTGGTTCCGTGGGTCGTCTTGTATTCCTGGAGATGTTCGCAGCTACCCATAGTCATCCCAGGGCTCTTCTTCCTCGAAATGGAAGAATGTTTTTCATATCTAAAGTAGGACCCATCGGCTCAATGTAAACTTCAACAAAGATGCGCTGCGAGACAAAAAATACGAATATTTTGCGCATAATCTGTGTCGCTTCCGTTTCCGTTGTTACCTCAAACTGTTCATAGAAGACCCACCCACATGACTTTATTCGTGCTTGACCTCCTTGTCACCTATTATAATTGAGTTAACATAGCAAGACCCTATATATTTATGTCTATTTTCAAATATTTTCACAACAATCGATATTGAAGGAGATTTTGTTGGATTCTGTTAGGAAGGTAAGGCACTATTTTGCTGTGGCTAACGTAAGGCTACTTTCATTTTGGCTTGCTGCACAAAAGCTTTCCATCCTACAGGTTTTACGATTTCTATACGGGAGGATATTTCACATCCGTCGTATTATAAACATCCGTGTTGATTTTAATAAGAATTGGCAACAACTCATAATAGCCAGTGATACTTTTGTAACACAAAACCTTGGTGCGTTACACTTTGCCTAGTTTTTTTTACAGTAATCCACTAACGTTAGTGCAGGCATATTCGCCATGCAACAAAATTCGACACCCTGTGACGAAAATGCCATATGACGTCATAATACATAAGATGTGACGTAAATAATGCACCATAGTCTTCAACACAGTTACAGCCTTCAAATATTTTGACAAGTAGAGATATAAGAAGGGAAATCTATACTTTTAATCAAAGCAGTTATGAAATATCTTGTAACAAAACAAATCTTCAAAATTTGGTCTGTGCAACGGACATCTCGTCAACTAAACTCATTAATCTGAGGCTAGTTGGTTGTATTTAGTGTACATTTATTACATACACATGAAAATACCCATATCTTAACGCTAATTGCAGTGAATGTAAGTAAATTGTTTGTTTTCTACAATTCTACTTTGGTACATGTACAATGTACTGACGATCCACTGCGAGTTTATGGAAAGATCCGCGATTTGATAATTCGTCAGTTTTCATTTTCATGCAATGTGTATTTAGAATACAATCAACCAGTATCTTTTTAAAAGTATTGTTTGCATCTTACATTCAACAATCTTACAACACTTAAATTAAAATATCATCTAGAAAATTTCTAGATTTATATCTGAAAGGAATTTGTTGTCAGCCTGAAATTGCTGCTGTACAATCGCATGCTGATTGAACATAGAGACCGACAGTTACCAAAGACTGATTTTTACATGAAAAAGTAAGTACATTTACAACACCTGGCCGGGCAGTCTTTGTTGAATAAGTTTTCAAGCCCAAGAAAATCGTTAATTTGTGAGATCAGATGTTTCCTGCTGACGTGCAAGAATATCGGAGACGTACATGTGACAAATTATCAAAAAAGTCGGGGGGGGGGCGATTGTTGAAAGCCCTGGACCCTCTCATCCTGACCCCCTGACCCGATGAAAAATATAATATTGGGCAGCGATTTGAAAGTTTAAATTTGTTAAGGACTGAGTCTTTATTGCGTATCATGTAATGACATCATCTCAGCCGATACCCGTCATCTTTCTTAAACAACGTTTATCAGTTTCTTCAAGTTACCGAAAACTAACTATCACAACTAAGAAAAACGATGTATTTCAATGTTAGTCATTGTTACACACACACATTTGGAGCTGTTCGTATCAGTACAGCTTGTGTAACATAAACATGATTTTTTTTATATTTAAACACTTAGATTACTTGTAAATAAGTTAAATGTTTGATGGTGGCGAAACTGCCTGCACCTTTGAGCAAAACCACGGAAGGCCTGATGACGTCACAAATGTTGCGTGTTTACAACAATGTTTATTTATAGGCATTTCAGTCGAATCTTCTTCTGTATTGGTGCTCGTCGGCATTTTGATACATGCCTATTTGGTCGAATTATTAACAGAAAACCTTACTAATGTGACGAATTTGCCTTCACTGACGTTATAGTTGAGATCGCAGCTAGTTTATTGTAGTTAAGGTAATATACATGTGCATGTACTATATATGTATGTTTTGCAACTTTTTGTAGGTGATGGGTTGGGAGACTGTATGTAGCATCATAGGAGCCCCACTGGGTTTTGCCTGTTTTCTTTACTTTGTGTGGACACACAAGAGCAGAAAAAACATTGTAGGCAAAACTGTCCTAATCACAGGGGCAAGCTCAGGCCTTGGAGAAGGTTGGTCATTTATCATTATGATCTTCTTTGTAAATTGTGATTATTACAGATTAAATTATCAACACAAATACACAAAAATAGTGTTATTCAGGTGTTTATTCCTGTTAAGCTGCCATACATGTACATGCCTGAAACATTTCAGCTCTCTTGTTTCATTTCTCTGTTGTACCACTATACATTATTATCCCCCGCTTTCACCGAAATGGGGAATATTAATTTGGGTTTGTCTGTCTGTCTGTCAAGCTTTGTTTCTGTGCAATAACTACAACAAATGTTAACCGATTTTCTTCAAACTTGGTCACAGGGTTAAATGCCTTAAGGGCTCGGCCCCTTGAATAACAAAAACGTCATTATCCGCTGTGCTTCGTTTCTGTGCAATAACTACAACAACTGTTAACCAATTTTCTTCAAACTTGGTCACGGGGTTAAATGCCTTAAGGGCTCAGCCAAGTTTGATGACCAGATTTGATTAGCAGAATAATGGCCCCTTGATTAACGAAAAACGTCATTATTTGCAGTTTCCGCTTTGTAACTCTAGCAAATATTAGCCAAATTCCTTCAAACTTGATAACAATTCTTGTGTTCCTCTGTCTTTCCACCCATCTCGATCACCCTTTGGTTTTTGTGTGATAAATGCTGTAGATATTGTTCAGATGTTTCAACCAAATTCCATATGCACATCCGTCTCAAACTAAGTTTGCCAACCGATGAGGGAATATTTACGGATAATCAATGAGGTATAGGGCTTTTTTTTTCTTCAAGTTTCAAGCTATACATTATGTCTCAACAGCATGATACTTGCATGTTTAAACCTAACCTCAATAATGTTAACCTACGATATGTTCTGCAAGTGGGGGATATAAATTCCATGAATTTGCTTGTTGTATTTTACAAGGATAATACTTGTAGCATTGTTATGTTATAGGAAGGAGAGTAGTGTTCTTCCACTGCAGCTTTACCAATTGAGCTAAAGGGAAATTCCCTGAAGCACAAAGCTATAAGGCAACCATAGTCCTATGTACAATTAAAAGCTGCCACATCACTTTTCTTTCTTTAAACATGTTCACCATCAAACACCAAGGCTAGCGCTCTTAATCTCTGTTGCCAGGGATTAGGTGACACAGTCACCATTTGAAACAAGGCAGAGGCTACTAGGTTATATGTCTTGTATTATCACAATGTGAAATACAGAAAATTGTATTGCATGGCCTGAAAATTAATAAAGTACATTTTGTCCAATTATATAGCACGCTGTATACCTGTATAAAGTACACTGTGCATTTGTAATATACATGTACACTTGTAGTAAGTTGTCTAGTGTGGTACATAGTTTACATACATATATATATACAGCTCACTCCTATATAGCATACTTACTATTTATGTAGTACAGTACAATATGCTCTCATATGTAGTACACTTCTTTATTTTTTTAATGGTGCTGACCAGCTTGTGCCAAGGAATTCCACAAAGCAGGATGCAGAGTGGTCCTGGCTGGCAGAAACCAAAGTCAACTGGACAGGGTCAAGGGTCAACTGCTGCAGCTAAAAAAGGTGTTTTGTTAGATACATTTTCATAAAGTCAAATTTGCTTGGACATTTAGGGAAAAAATGAGATGAAAAGAGTTCAAGATATTAGATATAGATATAAATGAATGTGTATAAACAATTTAATGATAGTGGTAGTTTGTATGAGATGCTGGTAATTTATGTATTGGTATTTTCTTTATATAAAAGGATTGACACATGTGATGTCAGAGCTAATATTAAGGGAAACAACTCTTTACAGCCTGCAGATGATAGAGAACCAGAGATAGCTCTGATGGACCTGGAAAACCTCAGCAGCCTGTCTGGTCAGGTAGACAATTTGATCCAACGAGTGGGACCCATTCACATCTTGGTTAACAATGCAGGAGTCAGTTCACGTGGACAGGTAGAGGACACCACTGTGGATGCCTTAATCAAGGTCATGACCGTCAACCTGTTTGGTCAGGTGGCAGTCACCAAAGGTCAGTAAAGGTCAATACAATCAGCTTAATTTATGTCATCTTATTTAAATTAATGAAAATGTCATAAAAAGCTCGTCAAATTCATCAAAGATCGGTCGATGTCACTTGAGACAAGTCAGTATCATCAAAAGATAGTCAATGTCACCAGTGTTAAAAAGTCACCTGAGGTAATATCATTTTCACAATAGTTTAGTCAATGTCACCAGAAGTCGGTCATTGTCATCAAAGATCAGTCAAACTTACCAAAGGTCAGTCAGTGACACCAGTGATTAGTCAATAACACTAGAGGTTAGTCAACGATATCACACGTTAGTCAGTGACACCAGAGGTAATTCAATGTCACCAGAAGTCAGTCAATGTCATCAAAGGTCACTCACAGTTACCAGAGGACATCAAAGTAAATATCAGCAGATGTTGGTTAGACAGTAGAAACGAGTCAATTCAACAAGTGATTAGTCAATGATACCAGAGGTTAGTCAGTAACACTAGAGGTCAGTCAATGATACCAGAGGTTTGGTAGTAACACTAGAGGTCAGTCAATGATACCAGAGGTTAGTTAGTAACACAAGAGGTCAGTCAATGATACCAGAGGTTAGTTAGTAACACCAGAGGTCAGTCAATGATACCAGAGGTTAGTTAGTATCACTAGAGGTTAGTCAATGGTACCAGAGGTTAGTTAGTAACACTAGAGGGCAGTCAATGATACCAGAGGTTAGTCAGTAATACTAGAGGTCAGTCAAGGGTACCAGAGGTTTGGTAGTAACACTAGAGGTCAGTCAATGATTCCAGAGGTTAGTTAGTAACACTAGAGGTCAGTCAATGATTCCAGAGGTTAGTTAGTAACACTAGAGGTCAGTCAATGATTCCAGAGGTTAGTTAGTAACACTAGAGGTCAGTCAATGGTACCAGAGGGTAGTTAGTAACACTAGAGGTCAGTCAATGATACCAGAGGGTAGTTAGTAACACTAGAGGTCAGTCAATGATACCAGAGGTTAGTCACTAATACTAGAGGTCAGTCAATGGTACCAGAGGTTTTGTAGTAACACTAGAGGTCAGTCAATGGTACCAGAGGTTAGTTAGTAACACTAGAGGTCAGTCAATGATACCAGAGGTTAGTCAGTAATACTAGAGGTCAGTCAATGGTACCAGAGGTTTGGTAGTAACACTAGAGGTCAGTCAATGGTACCAGAGGTTAGTTAGTAACACTAGAGGTCAGTCAATGATACCAGAGGTTAGTTAGTAACACTAGAGGTCAGTCAATGATACCAGAGGTTAGTAATGACACCAGAGGTTAGAAATGACACCAGAGGTTAGAAATGATACCAGAGGTTAGAAATGACACCAGAAATGTGTCAGTAGTATGAGGGGTTAGTTAATGACACCAGAGATTAGTCAGTAACACTAGAGGTTAGTCAATGACACTAGAGGTTAGTCAATGACACCAGATGTCAGTTAATTGCACCAGAGATTATTAAGCGACACTGGAGGTCAGTCAAGAAAACTTAATGTCAGTCAGTTAATGACACCAGAGATTTCTCAGTGACACTAGAGGTCAGTCAATGATACCAGATATTAGTCAATGACACCAGATGTCAGTTAATGGCACCAGAGATTATTAAGCGACATTGGAGGTCAGTCAAGAAAACTTAATGTCAGTCAGTTAATGACACCAGAGATTTCTCAGTGACACTAGAGGTCAGTCAATGACACCAGATACTAATCAATAACACTAGAAGTTAGTCAATGACACCAGAGGTCAGTTAATGACACCAGAGGTTATTCTGTGACACTGGAGGTCAGTTAATGACACCATAGGTAAGTCAGTTGCACTTGGGGTTAATCAATGACAACAGAGGTCAGTTAATGACACCAGAGGCTAGTCAATGACACCAGAGATTAGTCAATGACAATAGAGGTCAGTTAATGACACCAGATATTTGTCAGTGACATTACAGATTGATTAAAGAGGTTAGTCCATTTCACCAGAGGTTAGTAAGTTGCACTAGAGTTATTGTCAATAAGGGATTAGTCAATCTGTCACCCGAGGTGAGTCACTATCACAAGTTAGGGAAAACCAATCAGAGATTAGTCAATGTCACCAGAGGTCAATCAAAACCCTAGCTCTCAAGGGCCTTTGATGTAGCTTGCAAATGATGACATGAGAAAAATATATACCGAAAGTATTAATGATGACTCTCCATGCCCCTGCAGGTTTGAGGAAAGAACAGGCCTGCTGTATCCCACTACATCGCATTGAAGGCACTGAATGCCACTCCTTGCAGAATTGGAGATTTTCTTCTCTATATTTTGCTAATGGGGCTACATTTGGGATCATTTTATTTTCTCTTTGATTACCAAGAACCTTTTGCTAGTGCCTTGCTTGGCGACACCTCACTTTGGCTTTGGTGTTGAGCATTCACACAGGTGAGGAAGGCAATGGGTTCCGTCTACAGGCCAGGACATATCCTTAAAATGGTAGTTGTTATTCTCTGCTTCATGTTCAGCAATAGGTTTACTCATTGTCTGTATAATTTGACTGTGGAATGCTGTGCTGGGTGCTTTCAGCATACCATTTCAGTGAGGTAGCACTCTGAAGTCGGCATCAGATTGACACTATCGCAAGATGGCATTTACACCAACATACCCTGCCTCCAGCACACATACATACATATAGGATGTTACACCTAATAAAACCAAACCAACATACTTAAGTTTCAAATAATGTCACTTTAAAATTGCATTCTTTTCATTTGTAGCTTGCATGAATTTAAACTTTACTTTTAAGTCAATTTTACCATAATTGCAGTAAATTTTACCTGTCTTTTGGTTCTTTCAGCGGTTCTGTCTCACATGATATCTGCAGGAGAGGGCTCCATTGTAGGAATAAGCAGTATTCAGGGCAAAATTGCCATCCCCTACCGAGCTGCCTGTAAGTATCACTTCTGAATCATCCACAAAGCGTTAGGACATAAACATGACACTATCAATGAAACACCACATAATTACTTAAAATCAAAAATCGTTCTAATGCTATTTATTTAATTAGGTAATAAACATGACATAATGAGATCCATACCTTGTTATGGTTATGTATTGTTGAGTTGTGTGTGATTATGTATTGTTACTCTACTGTACACATCAAAACTATTTATCATACAAATGTAAAACTTTTATTGTACTCTGCATAACTTGTACGAGTGATACAGTTTACATGTACTTATTGGCCATGTTTCATTACCAACTTTTCATCGATGATTTTTCAACAATGGGGCAATAATGGAAATATTTGAATTAAATTTTACATACACAGTTACAAGTTGATGTACCATGTACTCAAAACATATACTGGTAGTAATTTCCAGAACTTTGGTCAAAATACCCAGGTCTAGCACAGGAGTGCACTGGGCAAAATACCCAGGTCTAACACAGGAGTGGACTGGGGGAAATACCCAGGTCTAGCACAGGAGTGCACTAGTCGAAATACCCAGGTCTAACCCAGGAGTGCACTGGTCAAAATACCCAGCTCTAACACAGGAGCGCACTGGTCAAAATATCCAGGTCTAGCACAGAAGTGCACTGGTCAAAATATCCAGGTCTAGCACAGAAGTGCACTGGTCAAAATATCCAGGTCTAGCACAGGAGTGCACTGGTCGAAATACCCAGGTCTAGTACAGGAGTGCACTGGTCAAAATATCCAGGTCTAGCACAGGAGTGCACTGGTCAAAATACCCAGGTCTAGCACAGTAGTGCACTGGTCAAAATACCCAGGTCTAGCACAGTAGTGCACTGGGTGAAATACCCAGGTCTAACACAGGAGTGCACTGGGTGAAATACCCAGGTCTAACACAGGAGTGCACTGGTCAAAATACCATGGTCTAACACAGGAGTGCACTGGTCGAAATATCCAGGTCTAGCACAGGAGTGCACTGGTCGAAATACCCAGGTCTA